AAGGCGACGTCATGTCGCCTCGGCGACGTCGCCGAGAAAGGCGCTGCGTTACCGCCCGTTACCGAATGGTACCGGGCGGTAACGGTCGAAATTTCGACCGTTACCGCCCGATATTACCCGTAACGGCCGATACGGGATATTTTTGCGTGTACCGCCCGGTAGGGGGCGGTCCGCGTACCGGTCGCCTCTCGGACCGGTACGTACCGCCCGTACCGGGCGGTACGATTCGGTAAGTAAAACCTTGGAAATAACTACCACTGGGTAAAAGCTTGTTACATAGATCATATCAACCTAGAATGAAGAATGCCATCTACAAGCATTTTACTGATCAACATGCTATGGGTATCTATCAAAATAGACGTTTTCGGTGCTGAAAGCTTTCAATTCACTAGATCCCCTTCGTCTTATAAAAATAAAGTACTCAAACAGTTAAACCAATGAAAAACCACAAAGAACATCTGGTGACCTTGCATTCTCTCCTTCTTTACCTAGAGTTCTATTCAGGAGGCATGGAACCAAAACAACAGAAGAGACAGATGAGTATCTATTAGTAACTCAATTATAATACATGTACAGGATGCACTTAATGTGTATGGCCTGCCCCACAGAAATGCTGGAAATGATACCTTGGGATGGATGAATAATATAGATGAACAAAGATGACAAATGTAATCACTAAGAACAGTATAGAACCTATCCTTGCAACTCACAATAATGAAACCAAAAAAATAAACATGGAAGCATTTATTATCTTTCTCCTTTAAAATATTGGCATTCACAATCGTCAACAGCAATAAATCATTCATTAGAACTGAACTTTAATACCAAAAGTAATTATAAACAGCTTCGTTCCACCACCATGAAAGAAGATACAATACAGAGAGCATCAGTAAAATTTGGGTTGAAGATGTGCTTACTAGTTGTCACATTGGTTTACTTTGGCCTTTAGACTTAACACCTTTTTTCTAGTACATCATAAGATTAGAACATTCTCAGTTTTAAATTTGACTTTGTTAGACTCCACATGAAGGAGAAAAGGCTTAGATTGTAAGTAGAATATTTTGATGAAAAAAATACTTATTCTCTTTATAATATTCAGGTAAACAAATGACAATAATTTGCACATTCCAGAAGTAAAGTCAGAATATTTCTTTTTGCAATATGAAAGTATGCAATGACAATACACAAAAAGTACAGTACAATTATAATCTTCAGAAGATAGAAGTATATTAGGATCAAACACAGAGTGAAGGCACGAGAAGACATTGGCCGAAAGAAAAAAGGGGGAAGCGCTTCAAATTGATTTTTCCAAGCTTCAGGCAGAGGCAGATGGACTCGCGTTCATCTTGATTCAAAAGTCTATTCAGGTTCAAGGTCCACGATCTGACCAATTTGAACATAAGTTGATGTGATTAATAAGACTAACGAGTGAACCGAATGACACATAGTTAAAGCTAAAGTTATCACCTCAACCTAATCATGCCTTATCTGACAGATGACTCATAATTAAAATCCTATATAGATGCAGAGAAGACTACCTAACCGCAGATATTGCAGTTTAGCCATTGGGTCAAAAGTTATTTCATAACAGAGGTTGCCCAATTGAAGCTACTTCGAGATCAGATATTCGATTACCAAATGAGTCCAAATTGGTATATCACAGGTATTGACCTGACCAAAATCACACAACTTGCATGGTATGTATAGTTTTTAAGATTATCACAGTTTGCAATTCCATTAACACAAGAATTGCAGTATATTGGGATTGCATAGTTTGCTTAGGCCTTGAATTCCTATCAATAATTATGTATTTTATAGGAATCTGTCTTTTCTCTCTGCTTTTACCATATTTGTCCTTATTATGGATTGAACCAATGATGCCAAATGCAATTGGACCATCCTTCTAACTCAATGACATACTTTTTATAAAGGAAGTCAAGGTTTGTCAACAATTGCTAGAAAAGCATTCTGGACACAACCCATCTTAATAAATGGTTCCTTCATTGTAGCTACTGTCTCTTAAGGACAAAGTTCACCACAACCAAGGTAATTTTTACATTCATTTTCTTACTCAAGTCCAGATCATAGAGAAGATTCCTATTCAGTTAAACTGTAGAATATGCCTATCATTTTCCACAAGGCAACTCTTTTAAAAATTTAGTAGCAAGCGAAGACTTATGTCGAGAGTGACTAGTTATAGACTAAAGCATGATGAAAAATTAAGTCAGCATATGCATCGAACATCATATGATGAATTGATGAACTGATGAATTTTCCATACAGGTAATTCTCCAGTTGAAGCAGTTAGTCAAACATGATCTTGTGAAATTGTTCACTTAGTTCATCACAACACACCCAGAGATATACATCAGAGACAGAAGTCTAACCAGATCCAAGTATAACGACCATTGGCTGCACGAACTAAGCAGAATTCTCTTTCTATGATTATATGAGCTAGTTTCTACACCTGGGCTGTACATAGTTTTCACAGCAAAACTAAGTACTAAGTTGACTCTAGTTAAATTGACATATATCTGTGAAAATTGTTTGATGCCCCCACAAAAAACACGTCTTGTAACAGCTTGGAAATTAGAATTTATCATGAAAATGAGAACAGAAAATGATGATAAAGAAACTGCAGATTCTCCAGAGAACCAAAAAAAGGCTCAAACGTAGAATTGGCAATGAAATATAATGACATACTAGAACCTACATGGGCTATCATAAGCGAGAGGTAGAGCATCAGAGGCATAAAAGAAACAAGACAAGGTTACTGAAAAGCCAGCCGCTTAATAGGATACTACAAGAAAACGGTACTAGTCTTGCAAAATAACCTAAGTCAGAAACATATAAGACCAAGGAGAACATGTTTGCGAACTTTCATCAAGCAAAAATCGTGCAGTCCATGTACCGTATACATACAAAAAGAACTCTACAGAGTACGCTAATAGAAGCTACCAAAATATCCTAAAAGCTAAACGAGGACTTGGCAATCCATATTTCTTCAAAAATTCCATCTTTGTTGATACAACAACGCCACCAAGTTCCAAGGTGATCGAAGCATAATGCAAGAGATCAAGTACCCGAACAAAGAAGACGGTTTGCATCCAGAACAGGGACTTCTAAGAAAAAAGGAAACTTGCTGGTCAATCACAATGAACAAAAACACTACAAATCCAAGAAAACAGCAAAATCCGAACAAAAACCCTAAAAACAAGAACCCTAATCGTGAGATCTGAGGACGAGGCAACCAAGGAAAAGAGCAAGAAAAAAGGGGAAGGACCATACGTGACGCAGCAGCCGGTGGAGGACCTAGCCGCTTCTGGAAAACGGAGGAGGAGAAGAGGCGGGAGGCGCTCCAGGCGATGATCCGGGAGGCGGGGTCCACGAGCTTGGACAGCCACCCGTTTCCCCGAGTCTCCGCGGGGTGGCCGCGAGCGGGCCGCACGGCAGCAGGAGGCCGCTCGTACGGAGTCGCGGGGGCCCGCCGGAAGGGGCGCTTCGGGAACTTCCCCCCGATCCCGCCGCCGCCCTCGTACGCCGCCATGGGACGAAGCGGTCGAATCTCCAACACGGAGAGGGCTTGGATGAAGAGGGGAAGAGGGACTGGGGGCGTGAAGAAGAGAAGGATTCGGCTCTGGGTTCGCAAGGAGAGCAGATATAGGGTGGTGGGGGGGCGAAGCGAGAAGAAATGGGGGGAAGGAGGACCGAACCAGAAGAACCGCATACGACGGCGCGGCCGTATGCATACGGGATACGGCCGTATACGTATTCCTCGGCACTTGAGCGGTGGACCTCAGTCGAGTCGGATACGCAAAATTTTGGACCCGGAGTTTGTACCCAGAACACTTTGCTTTATCTCATTGGCCAATTCTTAGAACGAAAGTGAAGGGATGATAGTTGCTAGCTTTAGCAACCGGGGCCCACAAGCGAGGTCATTTCCACCTCGCTCCGAGGCTACTTGGCAGGTCCGCCTAGGGGCAGGAGAATCTCCGGTACATCAACTTGAACGCGGTTCAGGGAGCGGGCCCCATCTCTCCTTGCGGTTTCGATGAGGCGCCCTCTGGATCTTGTTGTTGGTACGGATCTCAAAGCACATCGAATTTGGTTCTGCTGCACTTGATCTACTCGTTATTTCTGGGATTAGTGGCCCTTATTCACTTCTACTTGTGTTCGGCGCAGTAAATTCCAAGTGACGTATTCTACTAACTTACAGTGACTTACATTTCAGTCGAGACAGATGTTCCGTCGACGAACTACTCAAACAGCCACCCCACACCGTCTTGTCGGTACCAATTTGGTGCTCGACTTTGAGCTCGTTAGCTTCTCCGAGTGAACAATGTCTTGGTATGTGACAGGTATTAAAAACACTACCTGTGAAGGAGACCCACATACCAATCGATCAGATTATGATAAGGGAGAAGGAGAGAATCTTCATGAGTGTCCCATTAAATGGGATTTTTTTCCCCAAAAAGGAACACGCTTATTGCAATCCTCAACCTGAATCCACCTGTTTGTCTGAACCTATCGGAAAAAAGAGGATATGGATGACACGGTATGCATATTTATATAGATATATTATAAACATACATTTGACTGCTCTACCATACACGCATTTGGCACCTGAATCCGCTGGGTTTCCACCGTGACGCGTAAGTCGTAGCTTATACAAAGCCATGCAATCCAAAAACGGCAAAAGGAAAAGAATATTAGCTTAAATGATCCCAACCATCCATTCTTCTAACGTATATGAGAACCAGATCTCAATTATTTATTACTAGAAGCATAACAAGCTAACATAGAATGAAACATATAAAACACAGAAGATTACTGGCATGTACATTATTAAGATGGACGAGTTGCCACATATCATTTAAGATTCGTAAATGACGCAGCGGTACTAATACTATTGCAACCGTGTGCCACACTTGATAAGAGGAAGGTGGAGCAACTGATGCTACGCAATCAATCCTTTGCCCATCATGCTAAACATTAAATAATGCATCCATCAAACAAGCATACGATGCAAATTAAGAACAATGACCAACACAATTCAATGAGAGGGTGATCGAGGTAACAACAGGGTTGGCATTCCGATCCCCAAAATCATCCCCTCGCTCCACCTGAGCCGAAGAAAATAATGACATCTTTGGGGCTTTTGGAGGGTCGGTAATTAGTAAAACTGCAAGACAATCTAGTAGTTTGATTCAGCAGATCATCAACAAGGCTATTACATCCAAACATAGAAAAGCTTGGTTTTTGTCAGAATACTGCATCATAACCTTGCGCCTAGAGTATTGTACACATTATTACTGTCAAAGAGTTTCTCTATCAACAGCAGCTTTACACAGCTGATAGCAAACATATCAAATCCAAATAGATTTTGAAGTGATCTCCTTTATGCTCTTGTCCTACTTTCTAACAAATGCTAGGACCTTCCCAAGCATAGCACCTGTAGCTTCCACAGTGTACTTTTGACGGCCTGATGATACCATAGAAACCAAAGTTAACAGTTCTCTAATAATACATGTATTAAGGACTTGAATACTGATATTAGGCCAATTTCTTTATCACATTTCTTGCTAAGAAAAAGAAAACCAAATCAAAAGGAGGGCGATTTGAAGAAAATATTGAAGGTTCACACTTGACAGGTCATATTATCATACCAAAAAGCAAGACCATCACAACATGTATCAGCAACTTCTGAGTTACAATGTATGCACATGAAATTAAAAATTTAACCTGTGATTGATTGGTTTCGTGGGAACATATCAGGGCTAAAAAATGATCAACAAAGAATAAATTATCAACAAAATTCTACAGTTGCATGGCTGATGGTAGAAACTTTGTTTCTATGAACTTCTTGTCAGCAACATATAGATATTCGAAGTGAAAAGGGAAAAAAGGATGAGAAATCTGATATCACTCAGGTGAAACTTTCAAAACAAAGGAAAAAAATGATCCTGAGAGTCGATTTTTCTTTTCTTGCTAAATCTATGTTTGGTAGATCAATGTGACATATCTGAATCCTCATTTCTAAATGGAATCATAATGTTCTGATAACTCTGGCAATCACTACAACCTAAACCAAGCATTTTTTATCTCTCCAGTTTTAATACATTGGTACATGAAGCATCAGTGAACCTCCATTCTATGAGATGAAGATCCAGCACCATCCACCCCATTGGTCACCAACACAAAGTAGCCAAAACAAGGATGGTATTCGCTTCAGACAAATTGTCTGGCCAGCTTTAGTATTAAGCCTAACTGAGACAAGCCCAGGCCAGAAACAATTCTATGTGCAAGGTATTGTTAATTTCAATAAATTATCTTATGTTTATGACAAACTGGATCAACAATGTAAAAGGAGAACAATATGTATATACCTTTAATTTTGGAACTGCAGCATGTTCGACCATCAGAAATTGTGACATAACTTAATTGGGACCTGAACTTGCAATGCAAGAAGATGGCGTAGTACTATTGTTTGGATGAGTGTTAGCATGATTGGCAGTAACACCCTCGTTAGTTGGTTCCATAACTGAGTGCACTTCATCACTTGGTGGAGCAGACACACCAGACATTCTTCTAGTTTCCCTCGTGTCCAAGCGTTCCATCATCCGTGACACAGTAGCAATTCCAGCATTAACTTCTCTCCTGACTTCAGAACCAATATCTGCCACAGTACTATTACGTGAAAACAGCCGCTCCCTCCATCCTCGGGTGCTCTTAGCAATAGATTCCTTGTACCTAATTGCAAGAAAATGTAAGGGATACAATCAGCATATACATTTTCAGAATACCAAAAACAACAGATGAGCTTCAGAGTACCTCATTGACACAGCATTAAGGCGAGATTTCAGAGTCTCTGAGAAGGATTGGAAGTCTGATGGTCCTGGTTCTTGGCTAACCGGAGATGATTGTGCAGGTGTCCTGAATACAAAGTAGTGATCAGAACAATCTTATACCAAAAAGTGAACAATACAAGACATTTACAAATATACAATCCTAAACTGCACCTGGGACTAGATATACTGGACCTTTGTGGATTACTGCTGCTACCTGGCGTCAAGAAAGGAACCTGGCTAGCATGAGCTGGGCTAACATTTGTCACTTCAGCAGGTTCCTCTCCTGGAGTAGTTATAGTAGCTGATGAATCAGCAGCAATTATTGCAGGAGCTAGTTCATTTTCTCCTATCGGAGCAGATGAGGCAGATACCGAGCCCACAGAAGGGGTGTTTGAATTTGTAGAGAAAACCAGATACTGTGGGCGACCATGAGAACCTGATCTGACCCGTCCTTCTCTTCTAGCAATGTGGTGAGCTCTTCCCATGGCAGCAGCAGCAGCTAAGTGCTGAATAATACGCTCTTCGAGTTCAGCATCACTTCCACCAACTGGCAACTGCAATAAATAGGAGAGAAAGAAATTATCATCCAAGGCATGAAAAATTAGCTTTTCCATTCATAAAGGCAACAAATCACGGGAGAAAAATATCAAAACCATTATGGAACTACCAACATGCTGCAATTCGAAATCACCAAGTGCTGGATGATGAAAAATGGTGGTAGTCCGTGCATGGTTAAGTCTAATGTTCCTTTCCCGCTCTACAGCCTCCAATAGTTCTTGGCTGAGACAATCAACATCAGGTAAAAAAGAGCCTTTTAGTTGTAACAGAAGACTAAGCATAATCTGCAAGGTTAATTTGATTTATGTGAACCTGGTGGAATCCTTCAAACTGATTGACTGCCAACACATAGGACACTGAGAGCTTCTCTGGCACCTAATCATGAATAAATTGAAGAAATATTGATGAAATGTGTTTGAAACAATGAATAAATATCAAGGGAAAAAAAGATTAATAATAATAATAATAATAACGAATTTTGCACAAGAAACTAGCTTCTGACATTGACAACACCCAACAATAACCAATATCCAATAAGAAAGGCCAATAAAATGGCCAATTTTATTTAATTACTATGGGAAAATGCACCCAAGACAATTGGGCCAATCACCCCAGCAATCCTATAAGATGAGATAACTCCCTTAAATGGCTGGAGTCTAACAGTAGAAGGTTGTTTCCTTCAACTAACTTATTGGAGTGTTGTCCACATGCTCAAAAAAGCACGTAGTAAACAACTTCAGTGACTCAGGAAAAACGGTAATCACATAGTGTAAAACACAGAAGTACCATTCAAGAATGCACTGTAGATGGAACTCATGCTTGCAACCAGTAACCTGAAGAACAATGACAAAGATCAATAAAAAGAGAAGAAGTATTATTACAACCAACCACATAGATGTATATTCATACATACATATTTATACATAACAGCATACCGTCGAAGGATCACTTTCACAGAAGGCTTCCAGACAGATGCTGCATGCATCATCACAAGCATCCTGAATTCCTCCTTCCACAAAAGCCGCAGCTGATGATAGATGGCTCTCCATCTTTGCAGTCTCGTCCATTATCAAACCCTAAATCAATACCTCACTTAATTAAAAACAGAAGCAAGGCAATAAAACAATCAAGAATAGCCAAATATTGGTAAAAATCTAATAAAATTCCCCAATATAGGATTTTTCCATCATCAAATCAAACAAAAATAGACTTCGTCAAGGGCACGTCTATCTCAATCTCATATCTAAACCATATGCATCATCTTTAACTACGAATCGACGCAGATGACAAACCCAAATCAACGAGGACGAAAGACAGCATCTTTACAGACAAAGCCCCATGATTATAAGGGAATTACCACTGTTCCGCACAAACCATGAAAACCAGAGAATTAAGGAAAAAAATAACGGCAAACAAGCGATCGATCGACCACGAGGCAACGAATCGAGCCCGGATGGAGTGAAATCAAAGGCGGAAACGAATCGACGGGGGAGCCAGGAAGGAAAAGAATCGGAGACGGACAAGCAATCGAAGCAGTACCTCCAACGAATCGCCTTGAGATTGGAGCCGAGGGGGGGAGGGGTGCGATTGACCGCGACAGACACCGAGACCCCGCTGCAGGCTATGGCGGCCGGCGACGCTACCACTTGGGCACCGATCGAGAAACCCTAGAGAGGGAAGGAGGAAAGGAGGAGAGAGAGACAAAGAGGGAAAGGAGACCGCATGTCGGTCGTTTCCTTCGCTCACTCACTATTTCTATTGTGATCGATGAGGCGATGATAGGGTTCGCGTTTTGGTGTCTCCCAACTATCCATACCGCGTTTCCGTTTACCCAGTCATCGGTAGATATTGAAGGAACGGAAGCGGTTGGTGACGTGACCCGTTAGGTCAGTTTCGTGTATTAGCCCTCGGGTAACGAAGAGTAACGGTCGACGTGGGTGCGTTAAATTACTGGGCGTATCATTTTCCGCCCTGTGGACGAATGCGTCGCAGCGGAGGCGGTCCGGCTTTTGACCAACGTGTGTCAGAGAGAGGGACGAGCCCGAAAGCCCATTAGCTGGATTGGGTCGTTAAATTGGACCCGATTATTAGCTACAGGACCTATTTTATAGGCGGAATGACGATGACGCCCCTTCTCTCGAACTAGTTGGCCGAGCCACGGAAGATATAATAACGTGGGCAGAATTGGAGATGCGGACGAGTTCGATGTTCCATTATTATTATCTTGGAGGATTAAGATTTTTTTGGCTCTTAGTTAATCCCATCCATGGCACAGTCTTCTTTAATGATATGTTCCTGCATGTCCGCCGCGTACCCGCGGCCGTGTCGCCTCTCCACGAGAGTCTCGACGACACCGTCCACGCCCGCCGCACTGCAATATAGAAAATCCACGGTGCAGTCGGAGCTTTGAAGTTGGGCGAAGCGAAGAGACTGGTAAGGGAGAGAGAGGCATGGAAGAGAGCCAAGCACCGGTGATGGCGGATGGAGGTGGTGAGGATAAGAAGATGAAGGTGTTGGTGGCGGTAGAGGAGACCGAAGGGAGCTTATATGCGCTGTCATGGGCACTCGATAATCTCTTCACGTCCGCCAGCGATGTGCCGGACAAGACGGAATCGCTGGGCAGACTCGTCCTTATCCACGCGCAGCAGCCACTGCAGCACTTCATGCACCCAGTTGGACCATGCATGACTGATCCCCATCACCGTTCTTTTTCTGTTCTTTTCGGTACAAGAGAGTACCATGTTTACAGGGAGAAGTAATAAAATATGACCAAGAATTACATGTCTTGCCTTGTTGCAGCCGTTTATGCCACCTCGTCGGTGATAGACTCCGTGAGAAGGGCGCAAGAGCAGAACTCACGCAATTTGCTCGAGAGAGCGACGCAAGTTTGCAGAAGCAAACTAGTAAGTCATCGTCTCCGCGTTGTATCAATTACACATAGGTCGTGTACTTTATCGTCAACTGGTTTCTGCATAGGTCGAAGCGGAAATGGTCATCGTAGATGGGGATCCAAAGGAGATGATATGCCAGTTCGCGGAACAAATGCAAGCCGACCTCCTTGTGGTGGGGAGTCGCGGTCTAAGTAAGATCAGGAGGTGAGATGCTTAAAGAATGTGTTTGATGAAATGCCTCAACCAAAAAAAAACCCTTGATCCTTTGTTGGACGCAGGGCAATCCTGGGCAGCGTGAGCGGCTACTGTGCTCATCACGCAACATGTCCCGTCCTTATCGTGAAGCCACCCAAGGGAAATCATCCGTAGCGTAGCTTGGATGATAATGGTAGATTTGGAAACGAATGGATGTATTTAGAACCTTCTGTTGTGTAGTATGAATGATGGTGTCTTCGAGTGATCTCTTTGTAAACGGCGGATCATAGAAAGCCATAAACACAAACTAATTATATAATTTTATTTTATTAGATAAAATATATTATAAATTTAATTTATTTAATTAGGTAAAATATATTATATATGTAATTAAATCAAAATTAAAAATTTAATTATGGTATAATTCATTGGAGACAATTTTGATGAAAAAATTTTTGTTAATTATCATTATAAATCGTCTGTTTTTGTTTATAAAAAAAATATTTAGATATTTATTTTCGATCTTTTTTAGTTAGTTCTTATGAATGATAGTTCTTGTGATTGATAAGAATAGAGAAAAAAATAATTTTTTTATAAATTAATATCGTTGTAGTTTTTGTATCTAACGCTTGTTTGTTTGCATGTTAGATAAAAAAATTTTTGAATGACATTCAAATATATATAATCTTGATTTATTTGATTCTGGTTTAAATATTATTTTTTTTATATCATTATAATATAATTATAGTTTTTATGTGTATAATTATATTTGAGTATGTTATAAAATTAAATATTTTTTATCGTAAAGATATATCATATCTGTTTTATATTTAAATCTATTTATTAGTATTTTCTTCTTGTGAAAATGTGTTATTGTTGCATAATATTCGAACAATCTGTTTATGAAATATGTTATTGATTGTATAATATTTAAAGAGTATGTACATGTTGCCGATCTGTTTTTTTATCTCATCTATCGTGGTGGCTGTATGTAGGTGATGTAGGTTTCTTGTGTTTGATTAATATATTATTATCATTAATTAGTTGTTAGTGATAGTATTATTGAGGGTAATGATCTTCGATGATCAACGGGTAATGATGGGGGTGCAATAGCTGGTGATAGTTATGTATGATTGCTTACGTGGAATTGTGGCTACAGTAAGTTGTTTGCTTATCACAGTCAACCTCATCTAAATGCCAACGATCTTGGTTTCCAACTGCTACGCGGTTGGCACATTATGATAGTTGCATGTTGTGGTAATCATGGGGATCGATGATAATCGGAATGTGAGCACAATTGTGTGATGGAATGCTGCGTCAACCATGGGAGTTGTTGATTGGCGCATGAGCATAGTTTGGGTAGTGGAATATCGCAATGACCGGTTGAATAGTCGATCGACATGTGAGCACAACCGCATGATGGAACAACATGGCGATAGTAGGGGTCATTGGTTGATTGCGTAAGAACGATCCTGAACCTTGACGATTCTAGGTGATGCGAAGGTGACAGACTACTACCGCTAGAATAGCAACTAAGAAAAAATATATATATAAGGTTTTCAATCATTAAAAGATTATTTTGTCCTTTCGATTCTTTTTAATTTTAGCCTGTATTTTCTTAATAGTTTTGCCCTTGAAAAATCATATATTTTTACTATATATTTCAATAAAATTATACTCTTATCTTTCAAAATTTTAATATTTTTGACTTATATCGTCAACTATAAAATTAATTAATTTAATTTATTTTAATCAAATATTTTGATCAGATTTAATTCTAATTATATTTTGACTATTTAATTGGATTTAGATTCGATCAATCTCAGAAGTTAAACTTCGACTAATGTTTCACTTGTTCAATTTTATTTTTAAAAGATTTAATTGTGCTAATGTTTAGTTTATTTACGAGCTAGCATAATTAAATATGATTGATTAGTCTAATTTAAGATTTCATACGAAATTTAAAAAAATTATAAATTATAATTTTTCATATTTTTTCATATGATATATTCATACAATTTTTAATTATGATAATTAAATTTTTATTATTATTTTATATATTTATTTAATTATTCACATGTATATGTTTAAAATTATGAAATATTATTTATTTTTAAATTAATTGATATAAACATAAAAAAATACATTTTTAATTTCCAAAGTTTGAAACCACTATAGTCAAAAAGTAATTATAAAAGTACTTCTTGATCTTTTTCCTCGGCTTACGATAGAACGAAAAAACCTAATTCAATTAATTGATCTAAACGTAAAAACACTCTCTGAAACTATTTTCAATTTCCAAACTTCGAAACCATTTTAGGCAAAAAGGAATTACAAAAATGCTTCTTGATCTGTTTCTCGTTTCCCTCGACTCGTGACAGAACTAAAATGTTCAATTTGATTAATTGATCTAAACACAAAAACGATTCCAAAATCATTTTTAATTTCCAAAGTTCGAAACTATTTTAGGCAAAAAAATATCACAAAAGTACTTCTTCATCCGTTTCTTATTTCCCTTGGCATCTACAACAAAACGAAAAGGCCCAATTAGATTAATTGATCTAAACACAAAAATACTTTCGGAAACTATTTTCAATTTCAAACTTCGGAACCACTTCAGGTAAAAAGGAATCATAAAATTACTTTCTAAGTCGAAACTTGTTTCTCTCAACACCTATGACAGAACAAAAAGACTCAATTAAATTAATTGATCTAAACACAAAAACACATCTAGAAATCGTTTTCAATTTCCAAAGTTCGGAAGCACTTCAGGCAAAAAGGAATTACAAAAATACTTTTTGATTTGTTTCTCGTTTCCCCCACCTCTCGTGATCAAACGAAAAGCCTCAATTGAGTTAATTGATCTAAACATAAAAACGTATCTAAAATTCGGAACGACTTTAGTCTAAAAAAAGAAAAGATTAAGGTTTATTTTAGCGTGATGGACCTTTTAAGTGCTTATAGTTTATTCATATCTAAAATAATCTTTATATTTTTAAAAATATAGTATATAAACCCCTCCCATCAAATATGAGTTAACAAACATTAGAGTCTACTTACGTGATATATCGACTCATAATAAACTATTAATATAATGATATAAAATTTAAATTTAAAAAATTGATAATATTTGAAATTGAAAACGTAAACCGACTGCCTAATCAGGCTTGTGAAAGCAAGTCAAGAGACATCAGTCTTCATGGCGGAGCGCTCCCACACCTTCTACTTACCTTGTATTGCAACCTTTGTCAGGAGCTACGCCAGCCTCGCTTGCCCCATCTGCTCCTCTCCCTGCTGCAACGTGTCTCCCCTATTTGCACTCTACCAACAAGAAGATGATACACCCGCTATCGAGCAAGGGGCGGTGGGAGAGTCAAAGAACTGGAACTTGAATAGGAGAACTACCAACGGTGACAGCTGAAACACTAACAAGGGCGAGGAATGATGGTTGGGGGAGAACAAAGTGGTTGCTACTGTCATTATTGTTGTTATTGCTAAGGTCTATGATAACGATGAGCCACTGCTACTTGTGTCGAAGCCCACCCAGGGAGGGGGCATGTGGTTCATCCTATAGCAGAAGCAACTAATGAAGATAAGGATGAGAAAGCTTACGGTGACAATGAGGAGATGGAGGACGTGGAACGAGAGGACGAGTCTTATGGGCTCCTTGCTGCCCCTTGTGCTCGATCTGCTAGCCACACTGATGGAAGAGTTCTTCATCGACCGACATTGAGATCCAGAGTTGGTGGCGTTATTGTAAGCGTGATGCCGTAGACATCCCTACTCTCAAAAGAGTAGAGGCATTGAAGCTACATGGTGGCTCTCAAGGTGAAAGCATCACCGATAGGTTCATTCGTCCCTTTCCGCGCCTCGATCGATCTGGTACGATATTGGATGTGAGCAAGGCATGACAGGGGAGAAACTCCGGATGTTGAAGCGTGCAATACAACTAGTGGTTTCCTCTTTGGATTGGTGGGACCGGCTCTCCATTATGACTTTTTTGATCACCGTAGGTGCTTGCTCTCCATTACAACCTCTACGACAAATGTCGAGACAAGACCAACACATTACCCGCTGGATCATGGAAATGCTCATTTTGAAAGAAATTAATTAGACAATCGATCCACATTTTCAAATCCATATATTATTATTATTATTATTATTATTATTATTTTTAAATCCACCGATTATGATTAGGTAGCGAGTCTCGTTTCCCTCAGCCTGCGATAGACTGAAAAGACCCAATTTGGTTAATGATCTAAATGCAAAAACACTTTCAGATTTCCAATGATCAAAACCATTTCAAGCAAAAAGGAATTATGAAAACACTTCTTGATTCATTTCTCATTTCCCCTGACACTTTGATTGAAAAAAAAGGTCCAATCCAGTTAATTGATCTAAACATAAAAATACTTCCGTAAACAATTTTGAAACTATTTACTTCCGGAAATAATTTCCAAAGTTTGAAACTATTATAGGCAAAAAGGAATTACAAAAGTACTTTCAGATCTACTTCTGAATTAAAAACGGAAAGGTCCAATTCGATTAATTGATCTAAACACAAAAACACTTTTGGAAACTACTTGCAATTTTTAAAGTTTGAAACCACTTCAGACAAAAAGGAATCACAAAAATACTTCTGGAGTCATTTCTTGTTTCCCTCAACGCCTGTGATAGAACAAAAAGACCGAGTTGTTTTCAGTTTTGAAAGTTTGGAAGCACTTGAAACAAAAAAAGAATCACAAAAATACTTCTTGATCGTTTCTCATTTCCATCAACCCCATGACAAAACAAAAACGCCCATTTCAGTTAATTAATCTAAACATAAAAACATAGCTGAAAATTGTTTTCGATTTTCAAAGTTCGAAACCACTTTAGTAAAAAAAGGAATCACAAAAACACTTCTTGATCCTTTACTTGTTTCCCACGACACGTGTTAGAACGAAAATACCCAATTCAGTTAATTGATCTAAACACAAAAATACTTCCGGAAACTGTTTTTTAATTTTCAAAGTTCGAAACCACTTCAGGCAAAAAATAATAATAAAAATATTTCGAGATAGAATGAAAAGGTCCCATTCAGTTAATCGATGTAAACACAAAAACATTTTCGGAAATCATTCTTAATTTTCAAAGTTCGAAACCACTTAATACAAAAAGGAATTACAAAAACACTTCCTGACCCGTTTCTCATTTCCCTCGACACCCGTGACAGAACGAAAAGGCCCAATTTATTAATTACTGTAAATAAAAAATACTTCCGAAAACTGTTTTCAATTTTTGAAGTTACGAAACCATTCAGGCAAAAACAAATCATAAAAACACTTTTTAATCTGTTTCTCCTTTCCCTCAGCACGACAAAACGAAAAGGCCAATTCAGTTAATTGATCTAAACATAAAAACACTTTCGAAAATCGTTTCTAATTTCTAAACTTCGAAATCACTTATAGTAAAAAAGAATCACAAAAGTACTTTCTTGTTTCCCTCGACACCATGACAGAATGGAAAGGCCCAATTCGATTAATTAATCGAAACATAAAAAATATTTTTAATTTTCAAAGTTCGAAACTACTTCAGGCAAAAAAGAAATTATAAAAATATTTTATGATTCGTTTCTTAATTAATTGATCTAAGCATAAAAACACTTCCAAAAATTATTTTTAATTTTCAATGTTCGAAACCACTTCAAGCAAGAAACGAATCACACAAACATTTCCTTTATTGTTTCCTTTGCATCCGTTTCAGAACAAAAAGACCAAATTTAGTTAATAAATCGAATATAAAAATACTTTAAAAAACTGTTTTAATTTCTAACGTTCGCAACCACTCGAGGTAAAAAGGAATCACAACACGTGATGAGATCGGATGGATTGGGATGGGGACAGATTGTTCCAACCGGACCCGACCAGAAAAGCTGACGCCAGCGGCATCTTTGCCAAACCAGAAAATGAACACGTTTCGTTTGATCATAGGCTAATTTCATGTATCGTACGCAGTCCCGGCAGTCGATCCCGTCGACGGTGGTCAGTGGCATAGTATCCCCGTCGTCAAACCTTCTGGAAGGTCAACAAGACAGCGGTGCGAGGAGCTCCAACACTTCAAGCAAGACGGTGGTTAGAGGACGACCGAAGGAAGCCCGACGCGATTCGCATCTCGGAACGCCGCGGGAGGTCGTGGCGGCACCTCCCCCATGGAAATCTTGGGGTAAGAATCGAGTTTAGAAGCCATTTTCCGATCGATATGCATAGAATCATCAGGATTTGTTTCCGCTTTGAAAGGATTTATATCACTGAGACCCCTTTTCTTCCATCCCGAGGAAAATTCGATTAGCTTTGTCTGAGTTGAATATCTCCTCGAAAGCGTTCTTCTTTGGTTTTTGTTTCGGTTTGCGTTTTCGCTCGAGGTGAGAATTTTTCCCCGTCGACAGCTGAATCGAGTAGATTCAGTGTCTATCGGTCGAAATAAGAACATTTTACGTTCTTTTTTCTTTTCCCTGAGTAGATTTGAGGCCCTCTGTTGGATATCGATCGGGTGTTCTCTTTTTCTAGGAGTGCTGAGGCAAATTGGATCGCTACGGGTCGAAATCTACAAGAAAAATAGAATTCTTGAACTTGGAAAGAAGCAATTTCGTGTGATTGGAAGAAGCAATCATACAAGAACTGGAGTTCTGCTACTATTAACGGGAGATTAGGGACAAATGGGGAAAGGAGGAGGTTGCTTCCAGAGCAAGAGGCGGCAGCGAGTGCCAGGGATAGCCTCAGATAAAGCAACCACCGTTGAGAGCAACGCTCACGTCCCCGCCCAGGAGAAGACCGAAGGCAGTGCAGAGATCGTCGAACCTGCTGTACCGCCGCTGGCCGTGGAACGCAAGCTCAAGATCTTCATCGTGTTCTACTCCATGTACGGCCACGTTGAGGCCCTCGCAAAGCAGATTAAGAAGGGGGTGGATGGCACCGAAGGTGTGGAGGGTGTCCTGTATCGTGTTGCAGAGACCCTCCCATCGGACGTCTTGGAGAAGATGCTTGCTCCTCCCAAGGATCCAGCAATTCCAGTGATAGCTGCCTCAGAGCTGGCCGACGCAGATGGGATACTGTTCGGGTTTCCGACGAGGTATGGGTGCATGGCGGCTCAGATCAAGGCATTCTTTGATTCTACTGGACAGCTATGGAGGGAGCAGAAGCTCGCAGGGAAGCCTGCCGGACTCTTCGTGAGCACTGGGACACAAGGAGGAGGGCAAGAAACCACTGCGTAAGATCATCTCTCCCATTCGTTTCTGTCCGATACACTTTGAATGTTAATCTGTGTCTAATACGATACATTCGTTTATCATTTTAATTTGGACAGTTGGACTGCAATCACCCAATTGGCACATCATGGAATGCTCTTCGTTCCTGTTGGATACACCTTCGGAGCTGATATGTTCAAGATGGATGAACTCAGAGGTGGTTCTCCATATGGTGCTGGTACTTTTGCTGGAGATGGCACGAGGAAACCTACCGAAGTGGAGCTCGCTCTTGCTGAGTACCAGGGGAAGTATATGGCTTCCATTGTCAAGAGACTGAATTATACATGATTTATCTGCTCATAATCTCTACTGGCAGACTGTGATTCCCAGACCTTTGTCGTCGTGTATTATCTGCTTTTTCTTTGTGTTTTCTGATGTTTTTATATTTTGTATTTGCATATTGTTTGTGTCCAAAAAACAGATTCATATGCTCTGTTTATTAGCTCCATGTATTCTGCCTGTGTTTTGCAGAGCACTGTTCTTGGACGTGTTTATGTGCTCGTGGTTCTTCCTCTCTGCTTCCACGGGATGAACAAAAGATCGGAGAAGATTAATAGGTTTTATCATAGCTAAGATTCATGAAGTGTCAGATCGATCATCAACTAATCAAACTAAACACTTACTCGGAAAGTTCATCTCCCAAACTGCTCGAATTCCTTTGGACTTTTCCACCCGACATCAATCCAAACACGCTCGATGTTACTCTCATACAGTTCATGTAGCTTCCTCGGCATCACAAAATCTACACTGTAACTATACCTTCGCTTCACCATGCAATAGTAGTGTATCGATCCCCTAGACGAGCCTCGCGTGGGGAAGTAGATCCTGTTGCCCATCTCCTTCGACGGAGCCATCGCCATGTGCGCCGCCCCCGCACTGATGTAGATCGTCCGGTTCCCCAGCATCTCGATCTCCTCCGTGGCCCCCGCCCGGCGCATCTTGAACACCCTCACGTGCCTTCGTCGCGCACTGACGAAGACCATGTAGAGGCCTCCGTCGAACTCGGCAAGGTAATGCCGGCCGGCTTCTGTCCCCTCCGACAACATCAGCTCCCTGGCCGCCGGCATGTCGCGGACGGACCACTTCTTGTCGGCTGCGTCGAGGGTGCCCAGCTGCCCGTCTTGGCAGAGGCAATGGAAGTGGCGGCCGCACGGCACGAGGTTCGACTTGTACTTGATCCTCGTCCCGTGGAGTCGCCACTCCGAGTCGAACGACCGCCAGGTGAAGATTCTGCAGAGGTCGTCGAGGACGACAACCACGCAGTCCCCGGACAACGGCGGCGACGAGAAGGCGGCGAGGCGAGGCGTCATGCGGGGGTGATAAGGCACGTTCGAGCGCGATCTCGTGCCGAGGTGGAAGAAGAAGAGCTTGTCGGTGGCCCAGCGCTTGAGCAGCAGCCACCCGTCCCTGCAGTAGAGGATCTGAGATCGAGCGAGCTCGGGGAACTCGGCGTCGTAGTTGATCCTCCGGCGCGAGGAGGGATCGAACACGTTGCATGCCCCGTCGCTCCAGCGGAGCAGCATGAGGCACATCGGGCGGGCGTCGGGGTGCATGCAGGGCCGCCAGCTCCTGCACACGGAAGCGAACCGGGCGTAGTCCTTCGTCGACAGACGCATCACGATGATGTCGACGATGTCCTTGGGGAGATCAGGCCATTCCCTGTCGTCTCGAGCAGATTTTGTCGACGCCGAACTGACAGAAATGGATCGAAATCGGTGCAGCGAACGAGACAAACAACGACAACGCAAAAGCATGGCTTGCGGTCTCAAACGTACCTTGCGATCTTGCTTCTTTTTCTCCTCAGATTCTGCAGTAAGACGTCGAACCGCGGATTGCCGTGCCATTCCTTCATCATCTCAACATCAACTCCGATCAGCACAAGAGAAGGAAGACTTCTCCAGGAGATCGTTGTCTCTGTATTAAGTTTCTGATGCAAATTTGAAGTCCTTGATCTCCGTGATTTTTCAGAAGATTTAGGCAAAATTTTCGAACCGTATCTTCGATCAGAAGATGTAGCCAGGATTGTCGAAGCATACGTTCGATTTCCGTTGGACAGATTCTACATTGATTGAAATTTTCCTCCATATATCATTCATAATCTATCATAATGTAATTGACCCTATCAACCAAATTGAGAAACAGAGGATAAAATATAAGATACATCAAAAGTGAATATCTTATTCACTTCACTGTGTCAATCGATCTGCTAATTCCTCGATCTCTAAATCTCTCTCATAATTTTCTCTATTGCAAAATTATAGGTCATATATAAGGATACTTAATTTGATTGGATTCTCAAAATCAAATCCTCCGAAATAGAAGTTGAATCTAACTTCATCAGAAATCAGAAATCAGTGGATGCTAATCTGATAAAAGGAAAGTAAATGATTGCACTTTGTTACAGCTCAATTATGTTGTCAATCTTGGTCTAACAATTGGATGTTTAGGATGATCTTCTGCTCATCTCTTAACTACACTGTTTTAAGATACAATCTTTCTCACAGAAATAGAATCTCATGTGACAATCTTTCTGTTGTCACAGAATATATATATTTGTTGACAATGCTAAATATTTATCTAGCATGAGTCAACATAAACATTCAGGAACAAGTCAGAGGCATTATGAGACTAAATCAACCAAGATACCAACACATTTGACAAAATATTCTCACCAGTGGACTTTGTATTTGGTCATTGACTTTTATGGTCCTTCAGAATTATGCTATTGATCAGAAGGCTGCAGCAGTGGCTCCAACTTGGACCCACAAAGTGTCTGGCCTTCAAGAGCAATGAAGACCTCAAATAGTGAGATATATATATAAAAAAAGAAGCTAAATTATTTTGATGATTAGACTGAACTCAGTTTGATCAAAAAATTTAAAAATATATAATAATTCTTCTAAAAATTATTATGGGATTTCAGATTGACCTCAGAAGTGTTGAACACAATTGAATTGTTACTTTGACAGATTGCTTGACCTTGTACATGTAAAAATCATCTGCATTATATCATAAAGGTGGATTTTGAAGCATACATTTATACTCTGACAATATTTATATGAACTACCATTTCTCTTTCAGAAAACAATACTAAGAAAATTTAGGAGGGAAGCCAATTTGATTGCTTTTTATTAGAAAAAACATAGTTTTTGTTAGAAATTTGATTGTAGTCAATTTAACTTTTAGAACTTCTGAATACAATTTTACCAAAAAAACTCTCTTTTGAAATTTGATAGTAGAAAATTATAAGCAAATTATAGTTCTGTTTTGAATAGATCATAATCTATTGCTATTATGTAAAGTGAAATGGTCCCCTGAATGCAACAATTGCTTCTGTCTCACCTTTTATGAAACAAGTAATTGAATTATATTTGCATCTATTTTGAATCCTTCCAGCCATTTCATCCTTCAGCAACTACTGCTATAAAGACCACCAGCTTCATTATTGTACATTAAGTGCCTTCAATGTCAAGTTACTTATTCTCGTGAGAAAATTAACATACTCTGTCTCTCCTTAAATGATCTCTCTCTCTCTCTCTCTCTCTCTAGTCATTGTAAAGCAAGTAATGAAATACCCATCTTTATTCCCTGCACTTTCTCTTTGTACCCACTCTTTCCAAGAAGTTAGACATTGAGGTCCAAGTAAGATCAATTCTCATGGTCCCCTGTTCTCTTTTCCACCCTCATTGCTTGCTAATTGCATAGTATTTTCCTTTCTTAAATCACCACTGACCATGAATTAGTTTATTGTAATTGGAACATACACAACAAGTACATGACATCATAGCAATTAATTAAGCCAACATCTTCCCTATCTTTTGGTCAAATTTCAAGATACACTCATCAAAAATTTAAGAGCTCAAAATATTGTTCGATCGAAAGTCGAATATATAAGTTGATAACATAATATTACAATCGAATCTCATATTTATTTTTTATTTCTTGTTAGTAGATAATTTACTGCGGTTGTCATGCATGCACATGAGGCCCTTCCTTTCTTTGATCCTCACATACAACCAAAGTAGTGAGCAAGGAAGGAACCTAAAAGAAGTAACGCCATCATATACGTAGGATGCATGGCTTGCTTCTCACTGTCCTTTGACTACCCATTAATGCACCCATCTTGTTCACATAGAGCATGTTGAGGGACACACACCGGCAAGCATCTAACCTCACCCAGCTGCCAGGTTGGAACAATATTGTTAGAAGGCTTTAAGATTGGATTATTATATTCCATTATTTCATATTAATCAATTATATTCTAATCATATGCTTAATTATATATACATATATATATTATTTCTGATGAAATAAAAAGAGAATACAGGATGCCTCCACAAACACAAACCAAAACCCAAGAAACCCATGCAAACATGCATGCACATGCATACTATGTGCTCTGCCTTGCTCTTCTCTTACTCGGTCACTGCCCTGCCCACGTAGGAGTCGATAGGATTTGGAAAGGAGTAGGCGAAGGGGAAGAGGAGATTACTTCGCTGCTCCATTGAACAAAAACCCCACCTTTATCACCTCTCGTCCTCCGCCACGCCGCTTCTTCTCCCCGATCCCGTCTCTTCCCGTCCCTATTAAGCACTCAAACCCGTCTCTCGATCTCGTTCGCTCTTGGAATTCCCTCCGAGGCGATGGCTTGGTAACGCTTCGCCTTATTCTCTCGTCGCCCCCTTTCTTATGCCCTGATCGATGTGCTATCTGCTTATCTGATCGTTTCTTGCCGCTGTTCGCTGTGTTCTTTTGTTCTGATCTGAGTCGGATCTTTTCTTTTTCATCTGTGTTCTTGGTTTCGTCGTCGAAAGTTTGGATTTATCTTTTCTTTTCTTTATCCTAGCGGGTGATCAGGGTTTTAGGGGTCGCTGCGATCCTCGTGCATTTGATCGGATGTGATGGGGGTTACCGAGTTCAAACTCAATTTTGTGTTAGATTATTGTTTTGCTGCCGGATTGTATATGAGTTGGACTAAATGTTGCAACGTTCTTATTCACACCTCCTTCTTCATATGTGAACCTTTCTAAACTAACGTTCTGCAGCATTATTGTGTTGAGAAGTAGATTTATGCACATGTTATTTTTTTCCAACATCTAGAAATTTGTGAAACAGAGATTTAGGGATTTGGTTAGATTTTGCAATCGACTGGTTATCATCTGTTGCTGTTCTAGCATTTGTTTGCATTGGAATATTCTTCTGAATTGTTTAATAATACTTGACCATGGTTCTGACAGATGGATGATGAATGTTTTCTCTATCAATGTAAGATGTGCTCTGCTTTACTTTGTAGTTAGGATTTCTTTATCTGGACACATCTTTGTTCCAGTGTAGCAGGAGTTCTGGTTCTGCATTAGTGAGAGGAGTTATTTCCTGTTACGCTACTGCACAAGTGCAGACTTTACTTTGTCCGCATTGGAGAAATCAAACTCCTTTCGGTTCCGATATGGAAGCAGGAGCAACCAATGAAGATTGTCATGAGTTTGACAAGATTCTTGAAGAGACACCAGATGCTACTACAGGATATACTTGCACCAGAGAATCTATTCAAGGCTTTGAACCAATCTCCTTATTTGAAGTTAGGAGGTCTTCTGCTTCAAGTTACTTACGTGACCCATTCAGTACTCTTCAGGCTTGGAAAGATTATGATATCATCTCTTCGGACGACAACTTCACCATGTCTAAGGCACCATCGGATCAGAAGGACGATTTTCATGACTACCATGGAACATTGACTGTGAATGTCGATCAGGATGCATCAAGCTTGCCAGATGATCAGTCGCTGACTTCAGCATTCCAGGTTATGAGTTTTCAGGATAGGATTGCATCTAATTCAAGTAATACATTTTTGGAGCACAATCAAAGTTCAGTTAGTCATGCTTTATCATTGGACGGCAATCAAACAGCATGCCTGAACAAGTGTTTTTCTGGATTGGATTCCACAGAAAGGGTTCCGTCACCTGGCATGCTAAATGGGGACTGTCTGCCCAATCCAGAATCGCAAGGTTACTCTGCTTTCATCATTAAGAATGTGCCTAATAAACAATGTAGGATAGTAGATGGACATCATGATGTAAGATCCCTGAAGCCCAATTTTCATGACTCAAGGAGCCAAGTACCGAGTGTATTGGATGGTCGTAGAGAACAATGGCCAAGCTTCCAAGGCCACTCTGCTGTTATGCCTGTAAAGGCAGATACGCAGACTTATGTCCTTCCTGGTGTTCTGGCTGAGGGGATTAAATTTCCGGCTTCATCATTCCAGCATCAGTATTACATGGATGCACCATCCCATGCTTATACACCTAATCAGCATCTAAGAAACTCCAATATAGCGTGGTACGGAATGGAGAATGAGAGAAACTATAGAAGCCACCCTCATTACCTACAACAGCCTAATAATCATCATCTAGAAGTGCATATTCAAAGAAGGAGAAACTCGGAAACTGAGCCGCCGTCGGGGAATGCATCACAATCATATTATGAGGATGAAATTGTGGGTAACAGGAGATATAATCAGTTGGATCCCTCTTTGCTGAGCGGTGATGTCAGTAGAAACCACCTTAATGAATTTTCTAGCCAACTGCAGAGCTGTCTAATTCCTCAAGCACAGAAGTTACCATCTTCTTGTGGTTTATATTTTCCTGGCACAGATTATGGTGGATATAATGTTTCAAACAGATTCAGTAAACAAACATTTCCCAGAAAAAAGTTGACAATGTCTCATGGAGTGAATTCTCGACAAACTCTTAAATCTGGTTCTATGGGAAATAATCAATTTCCAGAACATGGTGGCAACTCTAGGAGGGAGGTATCTTTTAATTACGTTAACAGTGGTCTTGTTCGGTGTGATGGAATCCCCTACTTGGGTGTTCAGAGAAGCCATGGTTCGTTTTCCAATATTGCTGATGACAAATATGATCTGAATTCACCATATCTAAAATATTGTTCACTTGACAATGTAATTGGACAAATACATATATTAGCTAAGGATCAAAATGGTTGCCGCTTCTTGCAAAAGATATTTGAGGAAGGAAATTATGAAGATATTTATAAGATCTTTGTTGAGATCATTGATCATGTTGTTGAACTGATGACTGATATTTTTGGGAACTATCTTATCCAAAAGCTGATCAAAGTTTGTAATGAGGAGCAAATTACAAAGTTACTTCGTAAAATTTCTGATGGAGATAGCGAACTCTTTCAGATATCGTGCAATCAGCATGGGTATGTTTCTTATTTGTAATTTGATGCTGTTAAACTTTATCCTATATAGTTCCTTTTTCTGTGACCCTGTTGTTTTCTACTACCAACTGCAGGACTCGTGTCATACAAAAGATAATTGAAACTATCAAAACTCCAGAGCAGTATTCCTTGATTGTCTCCACTCTAAGACCATACATTGTGTCATTGATAAAGAACAACAATGGCAGTCACGTTGCACAGCGCTGCCTGCAACACCTTCCTGATGAACACAAAGAGGCAAGAAACTTTTATTTAGTTAATTTTCTTTTTTGTCTTCTCTTTTGTTTCTGTACAGTTCTATTTTTAAATTGCAAAGGAATTGATATTATTTTTTATATTAGAAATGTTAAAAGAGTCATAGTTACATGTGTTGAAAAGGTATACAATACAATGATGTTGTCCTTCTACATTCCCCATATTATGCTACATAGATCTTTTGATATCTATACAACGTAATAATTGTTCTTTTTTTGTGATTTTAGAATGCCAATGAGGTCAGTTCAGGATTTCTTCTGTTTTCCGTTCACTGTGAATCTGAAAAATAAGTAGTTGAAACAAAACCTAACAGGAATAGTCCTATATCTAAAGGGAATATAACATAGAAGAAGGATAGGATACTCCAAAATAATTTATTTAATCCATCCATTTTAGTGAAACAACCCCTTATTGAATAGATGAACTAAAAATTTAGGAAAGTAAAGTTTTTTCTTTTTTTTTTTGGTGAAAGGTAAGTGGTGAAGGTGGGATTTAAGCCTCGGATCATGCAATAAATTGTCAAAGTTTTTACCAACTAATCTAGCTAACGTATTCAAAAAATATATCGGATAAGATTTTGAATCCTCAACCTTTGATAAATGAGTCTGGTACATCACCAGTCTAATTGTTGAAAGTAAAATATTTCATATGATAGAAATTTTATGACTATAGACTACGAAATACAAATATCACAAGAAAATGAAACTCTACTATAATATTAAATGTCTGATATGTTTGTTGCTTTTAGGCGATTATGACAAATGAGTCATAGATAATTTTGATGTCAACCGTGTGCTTATCCTTGGTGGATTATGAATATTTATATATAGTATTAGTCATGCCAATAGTGTATTGTTACTCGCACTTCCATGTTAATGGCAAGAGACTGACAACATTTGTCACCTCTATCATGCCAAGACATGTGAAATGTACCATGAGTAAGTGTCTAGTTGCATATGTTTGTTAATTACATATGGGAGCATGGATGTTTCCCATTTTCATCTTTTAGATTCCTTGGTTGGCACTTCGGACGTTATACATGGCTTTTAATATGATATTTTTTTGTGGATGATGAACTTCAAATTAGAAAGATATTATTATAATATCCATCTTGTTTACCATTGTCTGTTAGTTTGGAATATTTTACAATGCCTTAAAACCAAAGCATGTGGCTTGGTACAATGGTAAGGTCGTTGCTTTACGACTTGGATTACAAAGATTAGAGTCACACGAATAGTCTCTTTATCTAAGAAGGTAATGCTAATTACATTAACTTTAGGCCTCATGCATTGGGCATACCTTAGAATTAAAGCATGTTCAATGAGATGTGAATAATTAGTTCTGCAATTTTTGTTATTATTTGTCCCTTGGGAATACAGCTTCTTACATCAAGCCTATTCTTGTTATCTAATATGGTGATCTGTGGTGAATGGAGAAGGATGGAGGTAGTATGAGCCCCAAAGATGTTAGCCCTGCCTCTTCTAAGATAGCAGGCCCTGACTGTCTGGGAAAATATTTCTCTTCCATCTATGAATTGTAGGATTGACCTGACCCAAAGACCAAAGTTTGATCAGTTGATAATTGGAAATTGTTACTTTGAAGTCTCAATTCATACCTTTATTATATGCTCTATTTCTGTGTGATGTTCGGTGAAAAAGAAAGTTAACAGAAATTTATAAGACATCTTTCATGAAGGCTTAGAGCATTACTCTTCCATTCAGTTTGTAAGCTGCTTTGATATTCATCCAAGGAATTGTCCAGAAAGCTTGGACTTTTGCCATCATCCAAGATCTACAAAGACCTTAAAACTTTGCTGGAAGTGTTATGACATCGTTTAGGCTAATTTCCATTGATCTCAATTCTGCAATGATTTTTGTCTTCCAGCTGCAGCCACTGCTAATGCAAACTCATGTATTCCAGCTTTATTATGTCAACAAAGTGCATTAGTTGGATTCAAACACTATACTGATATGTAGCATATAACACCTAGCACATTAATGGTACATGACTACTATGTGCACAACATCGTGTGGAATGGATGACGCTTGCTGCTTCTGTGCCATTTCTTCTCTAATCCAGCACAGTAACATGTCATGCCACTCCAACAATTAAACCGCCCCTTCGTTTTTGTTTCAGGGTGGTTCACATATCGGTCCACTGTCGAATCGGAGCGTATCGCTCTTACTGGGCGATATACCATGACACGACAAACCTTGCTCTAGACTATTTCTCAACTTGTTAATTATAGATCCAGGTCTTGTTTGAAAGTAATGTTCATTTGGTTAGCCCAAAGCATGATGACAGTTAATTTGCAATTAATCCATGTATTATCTAGACCGACAAGTATGCCATATTGGTAGCAAGGCAAAAAACACTGAATTAACTCAGTTGCTATGTGTCTCCTCCAACTGCAATATGGATAGTTATTAAGAATATATATCACTTTCCAAATCTTGAACTTTCTCATACTAGATCTGATGATCTAGTATTTCAGGAATGTAGATTTCTGGAGATGTAGAAAAATATAAGCAAAACATCTAGAAGACCATTAGACAATCATCAGAACTATCTTTTGAACTAAGGGTTTTATTGTTGTCAGTATGTACCATGTCAGTGACATGCTTACATGTTGATCCACATGTTTTGGCACAGTTGAACTTCCAGCGTATGCCCATTGTTTGGCAAAATCATTTTCCTGCAGTTCAAGGAATTTGTGTGAATACTGTGATGTTCATGGTATTTGTTGGTTGGCAAGTATCATTATTTGTTTATTGACTAACTGGAGATCTAATCCACTGCCTTATTTTTTATGTTCTTAGTTGCTTCAAAATTATCCAATCAACCTTGACTCTCTTTTGTTCAAGTGATCAATTTAATATGTCTATATGTGGAAGCTGATCATTTTGATGTTTGTAATACTAGTAAGCTACAATAGTCTTCATTCAACTACTTTTAAGATTTTTATGGTTCTTTTCTACTACCAATTACTATGGGTGTTAATAATTTTTCCGTGTAGTTACTTTTTGAAGCTGTAGTTGCTAACGGCATTGAGTTAGCAAGGGATCGCCATGGTTGTTGTGTGCTTCAGAAATGCATCTCTGATCTGAATACAGAGCAGAAGTTCCGACTAATATCCAATATGACACATGAAGCTTGTGATCTTTCTCAGGACCCTTACGGGTATGCTCCTTAATTTCCTTAATTTGTTTTACAATGCTTTCTATACTTGATGATATTATATTCTTTTGTCCATCTTTTACACATTTAAAAAAAATGTCTGCGATTTGCTCAGATAATGCTTTTCATATTCATGCCTATGGTATTTTCATATATTAGTCCAACATTTCTTTTGGTCATAAATCTGAAAATTACCTCTAATTGTTGAGCCTTCCAAGTTGGATACATTTTAGAGAATATTTGCCTCGGATGTATATACCTATTAATGCTTTCTTCCTTTTAATTTTTGTAGCAATTATGTAGTGCAATATATTCTCATTCAAGAGATCCCATGGGCAACTGCTGGAATACTCGATCAATTGGACTTTCATTATGGAACCTTGTCCGTACAAAAATATAGTAGCAATGTGGTGGAGAAGTGCTTGAAACACGCAGGGAATGACAGACGTGTCAACATAGTTTGGGAATTGATCAGTGATCCTTATTTCCACCATATCTTGCAGGATGCTTTTGGGAATTATGTTATCCAATCAGCTCTTAGAGCATGCAAGGTTGAAAAAGTTAAAACTTTATTTCACTACAGCCTTCTCCTTTTCTATTTCTGATGTGGTACCGATTTTCTTCTTGAGCAGGGGCCACTTCGAGCCACTTTGAGTGAGGCCATTAGGCCCCATGAGGTGGCACTCCGTAGTCATCCTTACGGGAAGAAAATACTCTCCAGTGCATACTATGGTAAATAACTTGTATCGTTTTGGTTGATCATTAGGAAGCTGATGACATTTTGCACAGTGCAACCAGGGAACTGGAAACAGTTTTTGCAGTTCATGTAATCTATGTGTAACACCGCAATAAGTCAGAAAGACGCAAGATTCAGCTTTTAGTACTCCGCAAAATTGGGTGCCCCATGGCACATTAAATGAGCAAAACAGGTTGACGCTAGCATTTCTTGTTCTGGTTCAAACTTGTCGCATATGTTAAAGTAGTTGTTTAACAAGGGGATTATGTAGAAACAGTTTAGTATCTCATTGTTGTTTATTTTAGTTTATTTATTTGTCTGGTGGATTATGATTTGCCATTGTCGCAATTCCTTTCCTGTATACTCTTCCTTGTTCATTGTTATATGATACAGAAGGTTGTCTCGAAACAACAACATGCAGCTTAAGCAATTATTCCATACTCAGATTCTCTCCTGTTATTTCTTTTTTCCTGACGAGTTATGTGAAGCTTGCATACATACATGTGATCATGCCCTACTTATTCAACAAACTACACTTGTGATCTATAATCTGAAATATGTTATGTCACACTTGTATGATAGGTTGCACTTCAAAATTGAACATGTTTCCTCTGTGCCCTTTTAACACTCACACATATTCTCGTTCTCTCACATTGGTCTCTTCTCTTACACTATTAATAAGGTTGTCACTTTATCTTACTTGCAAAACCAAATAACAATTATAATGCGTGTATACAACGATTGTACCTGCAATTGGTGATATCGCAATTGATCCTTACAAATATTTCCAGTTTCTGGCATCAGTTGATTAATCCAAATGGTTGCAAAATGTTAACTTTATTATAGATGTGGATCCATGATGACATGATATAAATATTGCACTGGTAAATATTAAAACTGAGATTCTTTTACCAGTATTAAATTAAGCATTTGCATGGAAGTCTAAATTCTGTTGTAATTGCGGTTTAATTTGGGACTGATGTATGGGTCGAAGTTTTCCGACCCATGAACGGTTCGAACCTATCGAACCTGACCAGCTGGAATCCACTCCACTACTAGTCCTCGAACCCAAAAAAGCCTTTATCGCTCAAATGACGGAAACACCCTTATGACACCTGGCTAGTGTTAAGAATGAGAGAGGTCAGTTTGGTCTCTCAACGGTATTTCTTAAACCCTAAGCGCTTTAAACCTAGAGCCCGAACTCGATACACCTAAATCCCGACGGCGGAAGAGAGGAGATCTCCACCCAGTTTGTAGGCGGCGGACATCGGCGACGAGCATGCGGCCTCCGAGGGGTGGTGGAGGGGGTTTCAGAGGCCGTGATGGGGGTTTCAGGGGCCGCGATGGGGGTCGTGGCGGTGGCAGAGGTGGGCGGTTCGGCGGGCGCGGCGGCGGCAGGGGCCGTGGAGGTGGCTATGACGAAGGCCCTCCCGCGGAAGTCGTAGGTGCATATATCGACCTCTTAATCCTCAGTTTTCTTGTGGAATAGACTTGATTATTCCGAAATGCTGTGACGATCGACGTGTATTTTTGTGTAGAGATTTCTAGTTTCCTCCACGCTTGTGAAGGAGACGCCGTCACGAAGCTCACCAACGAGAAGATACCTTACTTCAATGCCCCAATATATTTGCAGAACAAAACTCAGATCGGAAAGGTGGATGAGATCTTTGGGCCCATAAATGAAGCGGTAACTCATTTCTCTTCTGAGTACTCCACGCATTTTCTGTTTGATCGTGGCTTTATCATGTCTTTTGTACCCTCCTTCAGCATTTCTCGATCAAGATGCTGGAAGGGATAATTGCAACTTCGTATTCACCCGGTGACAAGTTCTACATCGACCCCGCAAAGCTATTGCCATTGACACGATTTCTCCCCAGGCCTAAGTATAACAAATTCCAACTTTTTCGTTGATTATTTACTGACCGTCTTCGTATCTTCTCAGCATGGTGATGCGTGTTGCTTTATTATGGGTCTATTGTAGCATGTTCATATGCCCTTTATTTTCCTAGTTATGTGATTGGCATTCTTTTGACATTGGGGTAGTTTGGTGCATTTGTTTGATATTCTTTGATCTTGCTGTTGTCTTTACATATCTTCTCTTTCACGAAAAAATCGAGACAGTTGCTTGAAATGAGTTGTAGGACAATGTTCTTCAACTTATCTTGACATATTTATATACAATGCGGATGCTTTGTAGATGTGATGTTCACTCAGGGTTGTAGAACGAGTTCCCTCTTTGAGAAAAGAGAGGTGCAAGTAGTTTGGTGAAAAGACAAAGTGAGGACTCAAAGAATGTTATTTCCTTTGCGAAATATATGCTGACAAACTCCTTTGTGCCAGATCTGTTTGGTTTTTTATTAGAATTCATAAAATTCATGTTGGAAGATTGTTTTGACTAGTTTGCTTTTGGATTTGCCATGAAGATCCAAAACAAGCCAGCTCCATTGGTTGGGGTAGCTTCCTTATGCATTTTGACATCGTCGGTGACAGTCACCATCTCATTTAGGGGGAATTTGATTTTTTGTTGTGACTATAGCTCATCAGTAGCATGATTTTCCTATTCTGAATATGGATGGTGTTCTTATCGGCTTTTGCTTTGTTTTTTTCCATATGCATACTAGTATCATGTCCTCGGGAATTGCTGGAAGCTTTGTTTGAAACTAAGTGGTATTATGCAAACAATAACTCCATTGGTATTGCTTGCACTAACTCTGTCCTAAACTGGCTTGGCTCTTTAGGCTTAACACCAATGTTTTTCACAATCCCGTACGTTTACCGCACACATATTATTATTATCTTATGATTCCCAGTGAAGATTTAGACATGGTTGCCACCTTTTCTCCCGTCTTTTCTGTTGCCTTCAGTCAGAAGTTTTACTTGAGGTGCAACTTTATTGATAGATACCAAAGGGCAAATATTGATTTCTGCTGCTTGCTATGTCTGAAGTATGTGGGTCTTAAATCAACAACTCTTAGGTCTTCATCCTAGGTTGAAATAATTTTCAAATATTTTTTTTGTTCTAAAAGGTTTGTTTGTGTTGGATTTCCTGTTGCAGGGGACAAGAAGCAACTAGAGGTGGACGTGGTGGGGGCAGAGGAGGAGGTCGTGGAGGAGGGCGCGGCGGAGGCTTCCGTGGAAGAGGTGGTCCTAGGGGCGGTAGAGGCGGGCCTCCAAGAGGAGGCGGGCGTGGTGGTTTTAGAGGCCGTGGTAGGTTTTAGGGCAAAATGCTTGCAAGCATTGCAGCAATCTTAGAGCAAAATCACTCTGCCCCTATTCAGTTAACATCCTTTCTTCCTGCCCATGCTCAAATGCAAGTTTCACAATTCTACTGGAACAACATGGACTAGCTCCAGGATTTAGCTTTTCCCAAAAAAAAAAACAAAAAACAAAAAAACTGCACCAACTTTGATATGCTTTCATTAGCAATATTTTCCTGAGTAACTTTATGTTGTATCCTCCTAATTTCCTCGATTTTATTAAAGATTTCATGTGATGGTTGGATCAGCCATAAGGCATGCCTTTTTGTAAAGCATGCCGAAACTTCCCCTGGGATCCTGCAACTTGCATTTGTTTTTACTGTCGTTTCTGGATGATGCAAGTATGATGGAGTCTTAGGTGGACTCAAGTAATCGTCGATTAGTTATATTTCTCGTATTCAAAGTTGTTACATAATACAATCGTGATGTTGGTCCGAATGAACCAAATGAATACATACAAATCCCAATTCCCTTGAGCAATGAGTTGGTCGAGTCAGCTAAATTCCTTAGTCGACAAGATCTTAAAATTGGATTGATGGGCCCTTAAAAACTCGACCCTTTTGTGAAGGGTAACCCTCCAAGAAATTGGCACATGTTTCTTGAACTGGCCAGCACATGGTTTTCTTTAGTAAAAGGCGACGATAAGGTCATGAGGCTTCTACCGGTCCGGGGATAACTTGGTACGTATGATCTTGATGATAATTTTTCTTTTTAGTAATTAATAATACTAGTCATATGCATATATCTTCGTGAAATGGACCAAAACTATTCACCACTTGCTTATTCCAACCAGCGGCTCCTTCGCGTCATGTGTTCTTATCCAGCCACGCGGTCTCCTAAAAACCGCGTATTCCTACCAAAACTCGGACCGATCAACCGTCATATAAAAGGTTTCTTGGACTGGCTGAGTCATCCCTCAAATTTCTTAGGCTGTGGACATCACCCGGACAGTTTTTGGGGCGTCGTTCTAAATACTAGTATTCTGAACCCAATTAATTATTAATGCCACGTCGCCCCTCAAAATCCACTCGTGAGAACAGTCTCCACCGACGATCCCATAGCTTCCTGTACTATCAGCAGTAGCCAATGGAACCCGCAAATATTCTGCCGTTCGAGTGCATACAGCTGAGTCGTGTGACCGACGCATCGAGCGCGGGCTGAGTTACGCGATGAAATGGTGCCACTGCCTGCGGTTGGATGGATGACGAGGGACAAACCGAATGCGATCGTATGGGACGTTTTGCCCTCCCGCGTAGCTCGCACGCGTTATTATGCACGTGTAAATCACGTGATGGATAGTGGTAACTTGTGTAATTTACGCCAAGTATGGGCCGTTTGAGTTAACGCGGACACTCGGTTCGGTCTATAACATCGGAGCGAATACTTCTTCCCCTGTCCTGCCGTCGTCGCGAAGAAAGTGGTTATCCGCCTAAACGTCGGCACGCCCGATGAAGCACATATTTAAGATCAAGCGGCACCCTCACCGATCCAACGAGATTCCCGCCCCGGCCGCCGCCGCAGCGTCGTCGTCGGCGCCGTCCACCTCCACCGTCTCCCCCTCATGCGCCTCTGACCACCGGGCCGCGGCGTCGCTGACGCCGCCCTCCCCGTCCGAGCCACCGCGGTCGGCCGCCGCTGCAGATGATCGGCAGGACTACTTATTGTCGGAGGAGGAGTTCCAGATGCAGCTCGCTCTCGCGATCAGCGCTTCCAATTCGGAGTTCAGGGGCGATCTAGATGGCGATCAGATCCGTGCGGCGACGCTGTTGAGCCTGGGGAGGGACCGCATCGAGCAAGGGAGGGAGGAGGGGACGGCAGAGTCTCTGTCACGGCGATATTGGGTGAGCTGTGTTGGTCTCGGTTTGATCTTAGTTTAGGGTTGGATTTGGGGTTTTAATAGTTAAAATAGTGGGAGTTGATTAGATAAGGAATAAAATTAACTCTAGGTTTTCTTAATGAAATTAGGGTTTATAATTCTATTTATAGTAAATATCACGCTCTGTATTGCTTACATGCATGACAATTCCTGATGTCAAATCTATGTAATTTACGGTGGCTATTTCTCTTATGGCAAGGGCGAGGGGGACTCCCTAGCTTATAGGATTCCTTTGATTTCTTCTTCTCTGTTGGTTTGGTTTCAAGACACTGTTCTAACACGTGCTGCATCCAGGACTATAATGTACTTGACTATGGTGAGAAAGTTGTGGATGGATTCTATGACATTTTTGGGCCCTTGGGAAATTCTGCGAATCATGGAAGAATGCCATCACTACATGAACTCCAAACAAGGATCGGGGATCTAGGTTTTGAAGTTATTGTAGTCAACCGTGCGATTGACCCTGCACTAGTAGAGTTGGAACAAGTTGCACAGTGCATTTTGTTAGGCTGCCCTACTGCCGAAATTGGGCTGCTGGTGCAAAGAATCTCTGAGCTGGTTATGGAACACATGGGTGGTCCTGTAAGGGATGCAAACGACATGCTAACAAAGTGGATGGAGAAAAGCACCGAGTTACGAGCCACACAACAGACAAGTTTGTTACCAATTGGTTGCATAAGAATAGGGTTATCTCGGCACCGTGCTCTACTGTTCAAGGTTAGTTTTTCTGTTCTTTTGGGATACATTGCCATGATTTACTTTGTAGCAGCTTCAGGAATTAATGTGCGATTATATGCAAATCACCTTTTCATTGGTCGTCTTTGAAGAGTGGTATCAGATTAGCCATACATGTATGTAACTGTTTTATATTGTAACTGGGTGCATTTTCATTATTATGGATTAAGGTAAGAGAAAAGAGTGGACTGCTACATATTGCCCTGTAATTTGTATGCCTAACAAGTTGCTGGCATTATTTTTCTATAACCCTATTAAGGTCATTTAGTATGCATCATTTAAATATCTACTGAAATTTGAATGGTATGAGCATTGCATATGCCATATCATTATTGCATGGAGCTGAAATTTAGTTCAGTAAAAAGTTTATCTGAAGATTCCTTAATGAGTACCTGTAGATTTTTGTTGGGATCCTAAAGTTGTATGTCATGCAGTATAGATGCATCATGTAGCAAAAAAAAAAAGGAAAAATGTCATGCTTTCAACTTTCTAGGTAAAGAGCAAACTATATTTTGTTGTTAAATAACTATTCCTGTAAAACTATTATGTGGACAAAAAAACAATCATCATGTGATGAACTTGTCAATAAGTGGACTCTTTTTTGTTTCTATTGTGCTCGATGGATCTGTATGTCCATGATTATCTCAACATACACGAGATTTATTAGTAAGGGACAACATGTAAATAGAGTTCCCTTTTCGCTTTTACATATTTTAGTAACATTGATTTTTTGGTTCTCAATCCTACATGGTCTCCTTGACATGATAATGCAGGTTCTTGCGGATAATGTTGGCATTCCTTGCAGGCTGGTTAAAGGAAGTCACTACACTGGAGTGGATGATGATGCTGTCAACATAATAAAGTTGGCTGAAAGGTTTGTACTTATGCTATTCTACCACTCTTGAGCACTTCATTGATATTCCTTTTATTAAGTAACATTTCCTTATTGACAAGGTTGAGGCCTATATTGCCTATAACTATATTTCTCATACTTTGAGAACTAGATGGGTATTTATTTGAAGAACAAAGCTCTGAGGTATATGCATCCCGTTTGTATTTTAGCCTGGAAACTTATTTCTGACCTATATTTTGATTTGGTTTTATGTCTGGGTCCTGGCAAAACATTTCTCTATTTGGGAATCTTCTTTTTAGTGTTCATGGCTGCTTCATGTACACTGCATAACCATGTTAATACTGCTAGCATTCTTGTTAACATTTATAAATTATAACCTCATCCTATGAGAGTGAACTGTGCCTTTGTAGACATAACATTTTCTTATCCTTATAATCAGAGGTGATAAATAGTCAGATAGACCAAATGAAGAAGGGGCTGCAATGTTAACTTGAGTTCTGTTTGGGCCAATTATTTTAAATATTTTTTTAACCCCAGAAGTCCTTTTCTTGGTTTCATTTCAAACATAATCTGCAAGCTGAAAAATGCATCATGATAGTATTATTTGGTTTCCATTTTGTTACATTGGAGAACTTCTCTAATGATGAGATTTTTGTTGTCCTTGATCACATGGAAAGTATCCTCTTTTTTGCTGGCTTCCATTTCAGAAATTCCTAATCAGCTGAGTTTGTGATGTTTTAGACAACAGCTACCATATTGCAACATGAGGATCTTCTTTTCCCCTCGTCAATTCGTGCCCTGATATATTAGGGATCTAAGACTAAATTCGTGTTTTTTTATTGAGTATCATAAATTTATGTTGTAATTTTGAAATGAACAATTGGAACATGACTGCTACTTGTAGTCTTTAACATTTTGCTACTGTCATTTCTGTATCAATCATTAATTTGATATTATGTTGCAGTGCTAATTATAATGCTAATATCTATTGTTCTGTTTTAGAGAATTCTTGGTTGATCTTATGGCTGCTCCGGGCACCTTAATCCCTGCAGATGTACTAAGTTTAAAAGACACTTCTTCCAATCCTAAAGTAAGCAAGAATATGAGCCCTTCAACCAGCAAACCAGAGGAAGATCATTTCAAGGATGAATTATTAGGTGGTGAACATAAAGGTGGTAATGAAGTTCCATTCTTAGATGAAAGTACGGCCTTAGATAAAAGATTAAGATATGAAAAATCAATTGTGATGCCTTCAGTTCAAAGTGATTGTAATGGTGAATCCTCTACAACTAGTGGAGCTCTTTCTGGGGGAAATATGAGTTTGTGTATGCAAGACCAACCTGATCAGTTTACATCTTTGACCAGTGCAACCTGCTCAAAGCAGAAAGGGATTGTTGGTGCCGCTGTGGATGGTGATAATACCGGGAAAAGAAAGGTCAATATGGCATTGAATCCACAAAATGCTGTAGATTCAACAAATCTCTTTGCTGAACTGAACCCTTTCAGGGTAACTGGAGTTGGAGAAAGTTCTCCACATTCCAAAGCTACTGATAGTACAAATGGTGGATACCAGAGGCGAAGTGAAAAAGTTGCTTTAGGTCCTGGAAGATCCCAAGTTCCATTGATTTGGAAAGGACAATCTGCATGCAATGAAACTCGTAACACAAAACAGAATAATATTGTGGAATTGTCAGTTCCACGGAGGAATCATGTACTGAATGCATCATCTTCTAAAATGCCTGGGCCAGCTGCAAAAGTATATTCCGGTGGTTCAACTAATGTTGCTGGCTCTTCCATCAGTTCAAACTCTGTTGGGGTAATAAGTGCTGCAAATCAAACCAGTGGCACTTCTCTAAGCATCGGCTATTCTTTCTCAGAATGTGTTGAATCAGGTAATGCTCCCGAAAAAAACCGGAATCATGAATTGGATAGTCGCCATTTTGATCTGCCAGCAGATAAATCACTTGTCTCAGTTCTATCATCTGGAGAAAAGTATTTAATGGATGACCGTACACGTGGAGTAGTTTCAAAAATGAGCCAACCACATGAACTGAGTGGACACATGAAAAATATTAACGAGAAACATGATCCGAAAAAGTGCTCTCATGATAGATTTCTGGGAACAAGTGTAAGCTCAGTTGATCAAGAATCTTCGAGTTCTTCCCAAGCCAGGCCAAGTCAGCTCGACCCAATGCTAGATGACGTGGCGGAGTGGGAAATCCCATGGGAAGATATAATAATTGGAGAGAGGATTGGATTAGGTACTTGCTTAAGATTTAACTTAACCTGTTCTCAAATCAGATTCTTATTTTTTTTTTTCAATGGAAAACTTCTATCTTCTGCAGGTGGGCTAGCAATCTATATTTTGAATATTTCATGATCTTTTTCTGTCAGATTTGTCCCTTCCATGGAAATTATGATATAATCTATCTTGCGTTTCTTTCTTCACTTGTTTCATTGTTATCTGACTCTTACTCTTCATGATATGTTTTCACATATTTATGGCACTTCTTTACTTAGTTCATATTGAATAAATTGACAACTTGTGACTTCAGTTTTTTTCCTCTTGAGTAGGATCATACGGAGAAGTGTATCGTGCAGATTGGAATGGCACGGTGAGTTGCTTCCTATGGCATATTGATATTCTAATTTCCACAAATAGCCACTGCCCAAAGTGGGTAAAAACTTGGGGGCATTCTAAGGTCCAATTATATTTTGTTTCGTCTGGGAAATGAGAAAATTCATCTTGTTTGATCAGTTTGTTTAACTTTGGTTTATGATTTGTCATCAAGTTTGTTATTCTAACTTGACCTCTTCTTACTAAGTTTGTTTAGACTAGTTTTCTGAGAAGAGCAATTCCTAGTTCTAAGATACTCCTCGTGAGTATTGGCTTTATTCCAATGATTCGTTATGGTGGCTAACCTGGAACTTTATATAGTGATTGTAATATACACATTATTTTGATGCAATTGAACATAGACTTAAATAAATGTGGAGAAAGCAACTTGATCCATAAGAATTGCTGGGAAACATCATAGTTGACATACATTGGTGTCTTCATAATATACATATACTTGGTCACCTTATCTGAGCATCTTTCATTGACTGATAAATGGGCAGAATATAACCACTTAGACATGCTGTAGATTTGTGCTTTTAGGAGTTTTTCATTTATGATGTTTCCGTCGATTCTGTGATTATTCTTTGGCTTGTGCAATATAGTCCTTGTTACTGTGTATGGTTTAGGCGACAAAATTTCATGTCGAATATGGTCGATGAACATCATTTATATGGTTCTGAAGTAATCTGGGCCCTGGTAATATTAGGCTGGTTGTACGTGAAATCTTGTTATACTCATATTGCTTCTAGGAAGGGAAAAGGAGTCTAGTCATGAAGGACAAAATGAGACTTTTTAATATAAATGTTTCCTATCTCAAACGACACAAATAATTTCAATCTTTGGTGGACTTAAAAGTACCAGCCCATGCTCTTTTACCATGTAATTTGGTGAATATATAGCTCTGATAAAAAATGGGGACACCAACTTCTTGTCATTTGGGACCTTGATGAGTTTGGTTCACTGTCACCTTCTCACCAATGGACTCTGGTAGCAACTTTTTTTCATAAATGCAATTACATTTCAAGCAGGAAGGACTCATCTAGCAATGGTCGGTTCCCATTTCCTTTGAAGAGCAAGCATCCTGAGTGGGTTTCTTGCTCACAGATTAAGTTGGTAAGTTTAAGCCTTTAAGAGATAGATAGGGACAGAGAAGTTTCAAAGAGACTGATACCATATAGCATGCTGTCATTGACAAAGAGCTAGTGTAGATTTTTTATAGGGACATGAACACAATGGCTTAAGTCATGCTTATAGACATGCATCCTTTGCCGGTTTTATGTTATATCTAGATGTACACACTCCAAGCATATGAATAAAAACAAACACGTAACTTAGATCATTGAGATTCTTATATTCATATTAACATTCATGTGGTTGTTTTCTAATACAGGAAGTAGCTGTGAAGAAGTTCCTAGACCAGGACTTTTATGGGGATGCTCTGGATGAATTCCGAAGTGAAGTATGTGAATATTTCAATACCTCATTGTTTTTCATGCATGCTTGCTTGCTGAACTTTGAACCTGAAATAACAATAGATGCTTCTACTAATTTAATTATTTGTCATCTAGGTACAAATAATGCGGAGGTTGCGTCATCCAAATGTTGTTCTTTTCATGGGTGCTGTAACTCGTCCCCCTAACCTATCTATTGTTTCAGAGTTTCTTCCAAGGTGATATACAGGTCCTTTCTTTATATGCATAGGACAGGAGTTTGGCCTGAGTTAAAATGTTTGTCTTTATATGCTAAATTGTTTTATTGAGCAAGGAATTTCACTATTGATATTTAATTAGTCTTAAATCTTTCATTTTTTTTCTTAATGGAAAATGCTAAGTCGATGTCACACTCCGTCTGTTGTAACAATCTTTGTCTGTTTATGTGTATATACCTTAAAAATACAAATGTGCTTCATGTTAGATAATATCTGACATCAGTTAGATACATGTTCATACACTACATAGAGAAGGAAGGGTGATGATACTGAATAGTAGAGGGATTATGTTTTTAATCGGATGGGCCTCATCCTATGCATATCAACTGCTATACATAGCAGAACTATACATGTTTCTTTTCCTGTGCATATACATTGTCTACATATGTCGACTGAAAGCATTTTACAAGACGTGGTAATTGTATTGTGTTTCTACTCCTGCAAATGGATTATTTAGTTGCTACTTATGTTATACTTAGTCTTCAACTTTGGTAAGATGCTTGTCATTTCAATTGGTTTTGCTAAGTTTGCCATGTCCCTGCACTAGTGCAATTTGGCCTTTGATATTGTTTTTTGTTCATACCTATGTTATCACATATTTATTGATGTTAGTCTCAGTGTGGTGGATATTCATTGGAAACCGAATATTTTCACTTATTATTTAGGACTCCATGGCTATGCTGCTTTTTATCATGTGGCTTTTGTTCATTTGCTAATGGTCCCATTGATTGAAGTCTTATCAGCTAGGGGTGTGTGGTGCCATGGTGCAGAAAAACAAATAATTTTGTTTAGTGATTTCATTTTGGCACAGCATGGTTTTAAATTTTGTTGGCACACTGTGTGCCCACAACCAAAGCAGTCATACCTGAACTCAAACGGACCTTGCAAGCTTAGGATGGCTGACTAAGGCCAGTTGTGAGTTGTTTTTTGGAAATAAATTATATAGAATTGAACCCTAGTATGAAGGAAAAATATGCTTGATTTGAACCTGACTTGACCTGCCAACAACTCAAAATTTCATAACTTGGAACCTACAGACATTCCCATGGGTCATCTCAAATGGGTTGTGTTCTAGTAGGATTGGCTTGAGAGCAACTTTGCTACCTCTACCTTAGTTATGGTGTCTTGATATATATGGGGTCTGTGCCATTCGGTACAAGTCAACATTGCCCATAAGTGAGTGTTAGCAGACCATAAAACACTTTGTCTGTACAACACGGTCAAAGTTCTCTGAAACTCAGAATTGTGTACTTCTTAGCTCTTTTCTTAAACATTGTCATGTGCAACTTGTACTACTGAAATTTGCCTTTTTGATCACTTGGGATGTTCTTATTCTTTGCATCAAAGAAAACAATGTTAAAAATGTCTTGTTATACTTATGGAGGCACATCGCTGCCTTGCTTAGTGATCAGTAAGCAAGAGAGATAGGAGGAAGCAATTTTCTAGATGAGGAATTTTTTGAAAACTTATACTGTCCATAGATTTGCTTTATGCTTGGCCTTTTATGTTGTATTTTCTAGGCACAACCATCATTCTTCTAATTGGTTTCTAAGAATATTTGTTTCTGAAAAAACAAATGCTTGCTTGTAAGTAACTCGTTTTTCTCTTAAATGCTAATTTATTAGCCTTACTTTAGATTTATTCTTTCATATTTTTCAAGTTAATGTTTTTTTTTTGTTCAAACAATTTTTATACTTGTTTGGAACGGAAATTTCAGAGGAAGCTTGTACAGAATTCTTCATCGTCCTCATTGTCAAATTGACGAGAAGCGCAGGATAAAAATGGCCCTTGATGTGGTATGACTGCTGAATAGTTGCATCTCAAGCTTCTTGATTGCTTATATTATGTAGTTTTTTATAATAATTTTGTTTCATAGGCCAAGGGAATGAATTGCTTGCACACCAGTGTGCCTACCATCGTGCATCGGGATCTTAAATCACCTAACCTATTGGTCGACAAGAATTGGACTGTAAAGGTATGTAATGGTGTTAAACCTTATCCCGTTTGTTTCTTTTCCACTGATCTATGTTGCCTTATTTTTCATTAGTTAAATAGCTGAAATGTCCCACTAAAAAAATTATTCAAAAGTTAACAATGATAAGGCATAGTGCTGTACAATTTCTTTGTCAACAAAATATTCATGATCAACTTGGTTGACACAAACTCTGATGGTATTGTCCGTTCCAGCTCCTTTAATTTCGTGATATTGCTTATTACATTTTTTTCTCTTTTAGCAGTATACCGTACTGCTAGATATCAGTTAAACTGGAGATGGAATTCTAAATAACATGGACAAATAAGCTCCTTTAAATTACAATGGAGTTTTAAATACCATGCCTAGATGAGTGCCTTTCTCACGTGAAATTTAATTCTTGTAGAAATTAGTTGACCATTATGCCATCAAATTACAGTTTTTTCAATCCCGCACTTTCAGGTTTGTGATTTTGGCTTGTCACGCTTGAAGCATAGTACATTTCTATCATCAAAATCCACAGCTGGGACGGTAAGAATTATTACTTCTGTTGCTTATGACTTTTGAAGCTAATGTTGAAATGAATATTTCTAATAATATTTATTGTTAATAGAATGGTGTAACATGAATGTGCATAAGCAAATTGTCATAAATATACTGCATACCACATATCTCTCTGTGAATTAGTTGAGACATACCTGTGACTCACAGCAGGTGGATCTCATGAGAGAGGCAAGTAGTTAAGGGAGGCAATTGCAGATGCCTCTTAATCATGACAAAACAATTAATTAACTGTCGCTATTATTCTCTGTTTTCTTATTAACTCTTTTTTTCTTTGATCTGATAGCCTGAGTGGATGGCACCAGAGGTGTTGCGCAATGAAAAATCCAATGAAAAGTGAGTTTCCTGATTAATGCCATCAATAGATACAAGATATTTCACAACTTTAGTGGATAATTTTATCACAGATTCTTCAGGAAGCATTCTGTAATTTATGTTGCTTTCCTAGATCTTGCGCCATGACTCAGTCATCAATTGTTTCTGAATTTCCAGTTCATTGCAAATCCACATACAGATAAAATACAGCTGCATAGTTTAAAATTTAGCCATATGATTCTGTTCTTAATTTTGAGCAGTAGGATTATGCAAATTTAGACACTTGGTTTGTTTCGTATTATCTTCGGTCTAGATGCAAGCTCTACCAAGGAGGTTGTATGAAGCCTATATAAAAAGGTAGCTCAAATCAACGACAATGCAATATATGTGTTTCTGATGATAAGTGGTGGGGTCAAACAAATTTGTAATCCATCTTGTTAGATTTTGTATATATTCCCAATAAAAGACCATTTGAATCCAGGTAAGTAGAATTATGATCTTGAACTCTTTATTTTCATTCCTATGTTGACTGAGGTGACATCTATAGTGTGGACCAATAAATAAGATCAGACCTGTTTACCCTTGCATGAATGGCAAATAAATTTTTTTTGTATCTGCAGCTTATTCTTGTATAACATATTTCAAATGTCAGGGTAGGGGATGACGATGTAAAATCTTGACAGCCCATCTAGTCGCTTGGCATATGAAGTTTTTTAACTTTAAATAGGTGGTGAGGATGCCTGCAGTCTGTTGGAGTATATGTTTACATGGCATTGACATGGTGGACTATTGGTGATTACAAGATCTATCTCTATGTTGTTTTAGCTTATGAGTTTTGGGGGCACCATTCTTTCTGGTGGTAGTTCTGAACCATCGGCTGCAAATAGAATATTCTCCTTTTTTCTCATATCGAAGTTTTCCAGCATAAATGAAATGACTAGTATGTGCCTAATGTATCTGGAAGTTGAAAACTTTAGTTCTTAACAAACTTCATTAAATATGTGAATAATGATGGAGTCAGCAATAAATCTAAATTCCATCTATTTGGCGGATGCACGAGTTCTTTTTAACCAGCAAAAGGTCTATTGAAGTAGTCGTACTATGAGTTGTCCAAATCGCTTAATTGTTTAAGGCTTCCAATTCCTTTCACCACTGGTGTGAACTGACTCACCTCATCCAACTAATGCATTTAGCTCTTTTATGGATGTAATGATAGGCCAAGGTATTTTGGTACTAAATCTAATTCTATCTTAGTTTTGGTGTAGCAGATATATGGTACAGAATGGTTCTTGCATTCATTTTCCAACCATTCACCTCTTTCATGTAATCGATGTGGAATTTTGCAGATGTGATGTATATAGTTTTGGAGTAATCCTGTGGGAACTTGCGACGCTGCGGATGCCATGGAGCGGAATGAACCCAATGCAAGTGGTTGGAGCTGTTGGATTCCAGGACCGACGGCTTGACGTCCCAAAAGAAGTTGATCCCTTGGTTGCAAGGATCATTTGGGAATGCTGGCAAACGTAAGCTCCAAACCTGAAATTCCTATTTGAACCTTCTATTTTTATATGCAACAACGGACTTCCTTGAGGAATATTTGAATCGTTCGTCACATCAAATTTAAGGCGTTCCTTTAGATTACCACCTGTAGCCCTGAACTATATTTTTCAGAGTAGGTTAGATTGATCCTATTCTATGATGCATCTATGGTGCCTTGTAATGCAATGCAGAGTTCTAACTGTCTCATTTAGCTTAACTGCTCCTAATACTCTGGTCCAGTGGTTTAGTTTCTCTTACAAAGGAATTCAAGCCTCTTGTTCTAATTAGTTTAGCCACATATATTCCTAACTCTGGTTTGAATGGTTTCTCTTACCAGGGATCCAAGCCTGCGGCCCTCGTTTGCACAACTGACAACTGCTCTGAGGTCCCTACAGCGGCTTGTCATTCCATCACATCAGGAGACACAAAGCCCTCCCATGCCACAAGAGATATCAGTGAACCTGACGCCTTGATCACTAAGCATACTAGGTGACTTTCATGGGTTGGTTCTGGCCATAGTCGACTCTCCTTGTGGCTCTCTTGCTGCCGTTGCAAAAAAAATTTTCCGTGGCAGTCTGTACAGTGAAGTCAAAAGCCTTGTGTTATGTATAGAAAGAAAATTGCAACCTGTTCTTTGTTAACTGTGTTTGCAAGCCGAAACCGGCCATCTTTTATGGATAACACCCCTGTATGAGGGTGAACAGTGCATAGTTTTACTTGATGGGGTGTATGAAGGTGAACAGTGCATAGTTTTACTTGATGGACTGTAATTGTATCTGTACTCTCTTTTATCATAAATCTGTTGTATAATGTGCAAACTATGAACTTTCTTACATTGCTTTTATTTTTCTTGGAGTTAGACTAGAATAGAACCATCAGGCATAGAAAGTCTGATCCATCCCGCATATATGATCAATTTGCTACAGCCTGCAATATGCAACATAAGCAAGCTTTCACAGATCATAATGACACAAAAAGAGCAGCGACCGTGAACAACTATGGTGCTTGAATCAGCAACAAAGTCTTGTCATTAGCTGCACAGCTAATCGAAGTCGAAGTCTGGCATTGACATGCCTGGCTATGGTCCATGGGGATAAGACCTTGCACATTGTCCAGGCATGTACCATCACAATACCGAAAGAGACATCCATTTTGGCGGTGAACGTGCGTGTGCCAACAAATCGTTTAGGTCAAAACATGCAATAATTGAAGGAGGTGGACCGATGGGCTGCTCTCTTCTGTCATGTTCAATACGGTGATGATGAGAGCTGCCGTCAACCTAACCTCCATAACAACAACATACTGTGTATCAAGCGAAAGACCTGCATCAGTCCCCCAAAAGCGATATGATCGAAGAGGATAAATTTGAAAAGAGTTTCATGCAGTCGTTTGAACACCGACTCGAAGGAGAGGGAGGGGATTCTGACGAGGGTGATCTTGTCTGTCACTGCATGATGCATTTCAGGGGCAACGGTACCACATAAGTGTGTATGACTTTTCTTAGAGAGAGTTGGTGTGATACCGGTAAGGACGAAGGGACGTGGTTGGATCCACCAAAACTAATGATAGATAGAGCCCATACAGCTAGTAGTGGCTCTATCGTGAGGAAATGGGCACTCTCTGCCTTTACCAAATTCTCTCATAAGAGACTTTTGCACGATGGGATAAAGTTACACACAAGTGTTCTTGGAGTGGCTTCTCTCTCCTAGTTTCTCAATTTCTAAGGACGAACAGGCAAGGTTGGATCCACCAAACTCATGATGGAGCACATACGGCAAGCGAATGGCTGTGTTGTGAGGAAATGTGCACAGTGCCCCTCGGTGACCTCTCCGAGCAGTAACGTCTTCCGACACATGCACTGACCACCGGTGCATGTTGGTGAAGTGAACTACCTTTTCTTTCGCTTAACAAGAAAAGTGGTCTCAAAGATTTGGGCAAAAAGACATGCTTTCTTTATTCAAAGTTGATGGTTTTCAAGGATATATGCAATCGATAGAGCTTTAATGTGTATGGAACACACACAATATTTCTTACACCACATCAGATATTCTGCTTCAACAATCCAATTTGGGTCTTCACCAGCTGCAATTATCGTCGTCTTTTTCAACATGTTACACCATTGCTGCAGACAAATCTTTTTCAGCAGCTGCATATGACCTCTCGCTCTCTCTCTCTCTCTCTCTCTTTCGACATCTAATCTTAACTGCAATCTATCAACATATTAAGCATAGATTTCGTTGCTTCTCAAACAAACTATTCTACCTACAACGACAAATAAGCCAGATTCTTTTGGTCACTTCAGCAAGGCAAGAGTGAAGCCTTGTGGTCCTCCGTCCATAAAGAGAACCACCATGCGCAGTGACCCTGAAAACACAAAAAGAGTGGCAGATTAAACTGCTCGAGATTTCCCCTTCCCCATATGCAGTTTTTCCCTTGTAGCACAAAGAGGTGAACGAGCTTTTCTATAGTGCTCTCCTTTACATGTCTTCTAGCCAATGTTCTCAAGCAAGATTCGGATCCACCAGGCATCAGTCACACCTGATCTTTTTTGTTTGTGCTGCAGTGGGGCTGAGGTTTGACAACCCTCCTCACTATAGCAAGCAATCTTTTTTACTATGTGTTGAGTCTTACTTTCTCCTACCAGTATCACTTGCTGGCTTGGATTAAACCTCAAACTCCAATCACACACCTTCTTTTCTTATCTTTTACTCTCTTTGTATACCAGAAATTTTACTTCTGTTTGTTGTTTATCTGATGACTGAGATGAAAGAGTAGCCAATCACAGGAATGAGGTCACTTTATATGATTAATTTGTGATAAAGGGAAGGAAGCATTGAAGTTGGCTTGGACAAAGTCAAATTGATGGAAGGTGGTCCCATTAGTGAAGTTCTTTCTCTTTCTTTCTTCATGATGAACAAAGGAACCCAAATTGCTAAGAGTATTATTATAAATGACATAACAAGGACATCTGCATTGGATAGGACTGTTCAAGAGAGAATGGGTAGGTAGTTCACTAAGCCAATTAGTTGTTTCAACACTATTTGGGCAAATCACAATGCCCACAAGTAGGTCAGAAGATAAATTATACCCTCATGTGGGGTGGGTTCCAATAGATGACATGAAACATCAAGACAGTGACTGTAGCTGGTAGCCAATGATTTTGGCTTGCCATCCATGATATATATATGGTTTACCTCAAATCAAATTCATCATATGCTACAACACTTCTTCTCTTGCATCAATGAACAAACATATGACTTCATATTTCCATCTATGACTTCTTACATAAGTTAAAAAGGGAGGCCTACCTTGAGGAGGGGTTATACACACGTAAATCCATATAGATTATGATCACATCTATCATGAGATTGGGTAAAAGGCGATGGCCCCCATTTTGATTTGGTTCACGTTAAAGATCATCATTTAGCAGGTTCTAGGGGAGCAATAATTGATGGAGCAAAGAAGGGGTAGAGCTCGATATGATGCCGACAGCAGCATTCACTTGACCCTCTTCTACGACTGCGCTGTCTCAAAGGTGTTCCCGAGCCGAGACGGATTTGGGCTCTCGTGGCTCGTTTGGCAGCCGGCTTCGTCCTTTGTCACCGAGCCGTGTTCTTCTCATGCCTGAAAATTTCGGCGGCGATGTAATGACCGACTCATCCCTGAAAGTTAAGGTGGTGGTGATGTGACGTGTCATCGAGCACCGATCTAACGTTCATGTGCTTAAAGCCGGCTTCTGAGCCGAGCCGCTACTTCTTTGCTTTGCCTCAGTCAGTGACTAATGGAGGTCTGTACTGAGCCGCAAAGAAATGCTCACGTTTCGTCGCCTCGTCTTCTCTGCCCCAGTCCTTTGGTGGAGGTAAGATCATTGCGAGTGTTGGATCCTAGGAATCATACCGCTTTCGCTCCAAAACTGCATTGGCTTCTCTCTCTCTCTCTCTCTCTCGACTCTTTATATCCACTGCATTGGCTTCTCCGTTTCTTCGATCCAAGTTGACTTGGACAGGGCGACTTAACGGACCATAGAGTACGAGAGAGAGAGAGAGAGAGAGAGAGAGAGGGAGTGTGTGTTAAAAGATTACATCATTGATCGGAGCAGTGGAAAGAAGAAGAAAGGAACGATCTTGATGGGTCTTTCGTGGCCCTTTAGAGTTAATTTGGAATTTTAGAATCATCTCTTTGTTTAGAGGTCAGGGAGACTGTTACGTGGTGCGCATTAAAGATGATTTCTTTGCTCGTTTAGCGTTGACGGATCGCGGGAAAGATGAGGACCTTGATTTTTTGGCTAATAAACACCGGCAAGCAAATTTCCATCTTTGCCTCAATGTTTTATATGTTTGTCTTGGATCAATAGGATTCATGTGACATTATTTCCAGCAGCAGGTTTCAGTTCTGGAGATCATTTCACGGATTTCTCTGTGGTTAGTATCAATGGATTTGAAGTGTAGGGTTTGTTTTATTGAAGGTTAGAGGAGTACGTGAGGTGGAAAAGAAAAAGATTCTTCTTTTCTTTGGTTGTCTGACAAAAGGAACAAGATTGATCCAAAAAACACTTTACAGAACTCATGAAACCAAAAAGGAGAGAACTTTGAAGAACTTTAAGATCCCTTCATTCGGTTGTTATTTCCCCTGATGATCAGATAGGAGCAATCGAGGCAAGATTGGTAAGCTCATGGTTCCATTATTTCTTCCAAGAACCTATCTATGCTTAATTTCTCGGTTGTAGTAAGAATTTTTCTGCCCATAGTTCTAGTATTCTACGAGTTCCAATTCATCCTTTGGAGATGGGAGCAAAGGAGAGGAGGGTAAAGAAACTGGCTCATTCTCGTCCTCTTTTTCTCCCCTTTCCTTTTTCTGCTCTACTGGTTGTAATATATCCTCTCTCGCTTCCCATTGCAGTCGCCTTTCCATGTTTCTGAGATTAAAAGATTCAGGGTATTGTGCTGCGGAAGAGGTCCAGATCGGTCAGCAGCAAACAAGGCCTGATGTCTGATCCTGCTTCCCTCTTATCTTCCAATGCTGCCTCTCTCTTCACCTCTCCAAGGCTCCTTGTTGGCTTCTCCCCAAAGAGCACTGCAGACCCCGAAGCAGGCGCATGCCATACTTCCATACTGGAGACCAAGCCGTTTTCTGCCATTAGGAACCCCTTCTTCTTCTGTAGGAACTCAATAATGGCCATCTTCTCAGCAACTGTTAGTCCCATTTCTGCTAACGAGTGCAGACAGCTACCTCGGGAGAATGGGGAACCAAGAGCCATTGGACTTGGCCTACTTGAGGTCCTCGCCGCTGGAGACTCTGTTAAGAAAACTTCCAAGACAGAGAAGAGGATGGTGGTCTTTGGGTCTCAGCTTAAGATTCAAATACCTCCTCTTCCTACCGATCCTCCTCAGTTCAGCTCAACTCCGACAACAGACTCTGGCGACTCCCTTCAATCACCTATAGAGTTTGGCATCAAGACTAGGAATTCACTGTTGGCCTTGTACTCTCCTGCTCGGAGATCTTCTGCTGAGACAGGCCGGATGGGTTCTGATACGCTGAATTCTTCTCCCCGGGTTTCGACGGGGTGCCTTCCGCAGTCGGAGATGGAACTGTCGGAGGACTACACTTGTGTGATCTTGCATGGGCCAAACCGGAGGACCACTCATATCTATGATAATTGCATCATCGAGAGTTGCTGTAATGGATTTGCCACTTCAGCGAACGAGATTAGGTCTTCTAATGATCAGTCAGGCTATGCATCAGATGATTTCTTGAGCTTCTGCTGTGGTTGCAAGAAGAAAATTGGCCCAGGGGAGGATGTTTACATGTATAGGTTGGTCAGCTAATCTCAATTATGTGTTGTGCTGCTGCCTTCAGTTATCTTTGAATTATTTTAGTGCATATCCAGACAAGGAAACTGCACCACATAATTGTGTCATGAGCAAATCATTAGGATTCTGGTCCATATGATCACTACATCATTGTGGAAAGAATGTTCTTTTCCCTGTTATTTTGCATCAATTATTGCATCTATTTTGATCAAATATAGGTAAGTCTGACCAGGTTTCATGTTTGTCTATTGTCAAACTCATTGCATGTTGAATTACACATTGGGGAAAGAATGTTGCAGTTCTTTTCCATTCAAAGAAAATTGTGATTTCTGGATTCTTGTTTGAGACTATTTGGAAAAATGTCTTCAAAGCTTGGCATCACTTGATTTTTCCTGTTGTCTATTTCTTATAAGATCTAAGAATTCTTCTTGTGAAAGAGTAAACAGTATCATTTTTCCCTTTTTCAGAAAGAGGGCGTTCTGCAGCCATGAATGCCACTACCAAGAGATGTTTGATGAAGGAAAGGAGAAGTGCTGACTCACTATTCCAAACTGTGAATGAAATCCTATAAGCAGACTCACATAAATGGCTCATTGTTTGCTATCATTCTCTAAATTTGATCGGGTTTCGGGAGCATGGAGAAGCGATTGTTCGTGTTGTTAGTATCATTTGCCTGCCGAGTGGAATTTTCTACAGAGGATTTCTTAGATTGCTGCTGTTCCTCTCCGTAGGCTTTGTCTGATTGATGTATAAACCTCAGATCAATGTTGTTTGGTGCATGCTATGTTTCAGAGTGAAAACCAATCGATGCGGTGCCTCTCATTCTCTTATGCTGCTATCAGCAAACTTGGATCTTGCAGCATGTGTATAGAAGAACGATAAATGCATTGTATCCTGCCTTACCTATTAGCGTCTAGAAATTGTCATACTGGTGTGATTGTTTGTTTCATCTGCTTTGCATATAGTTTTATGATGTTGAATGTGGAGTTCTCAATTAAAGAATGGTGAGATAGTTGTCACAGACAGTGAATTCAGGGTATCTTATCTTCACAATGAAGAGCCTGTACAGGTGAGTACATCATAACCAATATAAGTTGCTGCACTTTGGTTGCTCTGTGTTGCCAGGCTCAGATAACTTCTCACTGTGCTCCTTCTTGTGTCGCAACAATTGAGACCTTATGGACCTTACATGGTCATCCCTGTCCAAGATGTAATCATTTGTACACCATTTCTAACCATGCAGGCTTAACATTTGTTTGAGGAGAGTGTAATGCTTAGTTTTACAGTAAGATGCTTAACTTGAGGGAAATGGTTGAATGGTAGAAGAGGCATTAGTTAAGGTCATTTCGGTGTTGGATGCATGGTTGTCAACCAGACCACCACTGGGTCTTCTTCTTCTTGTGAACACGACTCTCTCTCTCTCTCTCTCTCTCTCTCTCTCTCTCTCTCTGTGTCAGAGTCCACGGTTGCAGCAGCCACTTGTGGAGCTTCTTGTCTTTGACCTCTAAATAGAAGTACTCAGGGATTGTTGCAGGACAGGATTCCAGACGCCAACATTTGCATCCAACCCGCATAGTTTTCAGGGATCTGTTGCTGCTTCTGATATGATTTGATGCTCGTGCCTGCATCAAACACATGCATGCCATCGGCCAGCCACAACTGAGCCAAACCTAACTCTGCGACATCCATCTCCTCCGACTGACTTGGTACTGCTCGTCTCTTTCCTGGATTCTTCTCCGGGTTGTGGACTTGTATGGCGGACGACCGAGCAATAGCTGCAGCCAATGACGCCGAAGGTCAAGGGTGAACTCAGAGCCCCTGGACTCTCGCCACTCCCAAGTTTTTACTGCCACTGTCAACGAGTCCTCGTGTGCACTGCTCTCTGCTCTGCCTGCCTCCGGTTGTTTCTTCCGATGCCTTCGTTCACACGCAATAGTGTCCGAATTCCTCATCGTTTTCTGTTTCATACTCATACTTCAACACAGATTCTTCTCTTTCCTTCTTTCTTTCTAATGGTCGTGGTGTTGTCGTCGGAGTGGTCTGTACGGTGGTGGATTAGCATGTGGAGTTGAGATATGAAATGATCAAGCCTGACTCACTCAAAGTGGTACGAATTATATGGATTGGATTGATTCCCCAGTTGCGAAAAGGCCTATTGAAACTCATAAATATCTTAAAAAGACAATTACGATCATTTTCTTGTCATACTTAGATTGTCGTATTATTGTCAGGCCTAAAATTAAAACCAGTTATCTTTATGGTATTGAAAGAAGAATCTCTACATCAGTCACTGGTGAAGGATCAGACTTGTGATGCGTGACAATTCGGAGGAGTTGCCCGAGGCCAATCTGTCACTGTTTAGACATGATTTTGTAGCCATGCGTGGAGCAGTGCCATCAACCTTAGGCCTGATCTCGAGCATGAAGCTTTCTCGCTTTTGGCATGGAGCCACTTGCCATGCAAGGATTTTGCACCCTCATCATTCTTGTCAAAGGAATCGTTGTCATCAAGGTCAAGTCATGCTCTCTGCTTTCTGTATCCTACCAAAGGTGGATGATGAGAGAGCAACAGCTCCAGGCCATGGCACCGTGCTTGAGAAGTCAAATGCCGGTCTCAGTAAGTGAGCTTCACATCCACACAGTAACTTCTTCCGATGACGCTGTCAATCTTTTCAACTGCTGCATGAAGTGATAAGCCCCTGCTTCCGGTAAAGCAGTCGGTGTTCGTCACGTAGCATGTAAAGCATACCCATCCTCCTTTTTACTGTCTTCTCTCCTACGCAAAGGTGGAGATGCGACACCGAATGATGATAGTTTCGATGGTAGCGAGCGTAAGAGGAGGGAACAAATACGAGTGGATGGAATGTGATTCCGAGGTGTTTGATTAGATGCTGCAGAAGCTCTCACCATCACCAGATGAAACTGTTCACCTTCAGCAACTTCGGGTTGAATCATCCATGGGAGCTCACGTCTCTCATGCAGAGTTGGAACAGATACATGCTTACTCCTTATTGTGAATGGTAGTGCCGCAGCCACTGTAAGCGCCCGGGAATGTGATGAGCTTATTTCTTTTGTATATGATTGACATATCGGACCGTTTTCATGGTTTTTGGTGGGTCATTGCACAACAGCAAGAAGACGAAGAAGAAGAAGAAGAGACCTCAAGGGTTCCAACCGTACCTGTCCTCTTCTGAAGCTTTATCGAGGAACAGAACACAAGTGTCTGCACAGAATATAAAAAGAATAGCTTTTCCAGCTAAAGATCATTGGCCATGCTCTTGCAACAACATATTATATACATATATCTATATATATATATATATATAGAGAGAGAGAGAGAGAGAGAGAGAGAGAGAGAGAGAGAGTCTACTTTTCTTTATCCCCAGTGCAATGAGTGTCCATGCAGATGATGCATGCCCTTTCCCAACATATAAAACATGAAAAGAATCGCAAGCGTTATTATTGTTCGTATCCTCCTTTCCCACCTCCCCTCCCCTCCCAACTGCAAAAATCTCCATTGCTCCTGACAAGAAAAAAAATGATAAAAAGTAAAAGAAGGTATCGGTAATTTAACCTGTGGAGTTTGATGATGCACTGCGAGCACACATCAGTATCGGTCAGCCCCTCCTGCAAGCTCTCTCTGTCGTTTACAGTCGGCATTCTTGCACTGACCACCGAAAGAATGTGGGATATGTGGTAAAGCTTCTCTTCTACTGATTACTCTGTCGGAAAAGCACTTGTTTGGATTACTGAGCTCTCTCCAGCATTAGATTCCATCTCAAGGAAGACGACGACGACGACGACCGTCTCATGCTGTTTGCTTCTTGCCCATCGGGATTCATGTATTTCAAGCTTTGGTTCTTGAAGCAAAAAAAATGTTGCAGTACAAACACGCTTGAATCAGTAGAAATTTAGAGAGAATTATGTCCACTCCAGTTTATGTGCAGATATATATGAATCATTACCAGAAGATAACAGCAAATTGCAGCTGAGCTTTGATGTTGCAATCCGCCTTTTGTGAGCAAATCCCTTCCTAGGAATCAAGAGTAACAAACTGTAAGAACATAGAACATGCTTCATCAAATGAATCACCGAGAGCATGCGAGGGACTTGGGGTACCGTTTTCATCAGGGAGATTGCTCCGAGGAAATTACTATGAACGGAGACGAGGCACGCCTTGTTCGAAGAGCCTGTACGCCTGCGATCTTCAGAAGAAGCTGAGCTCCGTGTATCCACTTGAGAATTGCAGAAGTTCATCGATGTCGACTTGAGAGCCAGCGCAATCCATGTTCTGGATTCGGCTATGATTGATCGACTCGACCTCCGCTGCGAAGATGCTAGAGACCGGCCTATGGTCGGAGAGCTTGGATTCGCCGCGAACGTAAGAGAGTTGGCTGAGGCCTCTTCCGTACCACAAGATCCGATCGCACCTAAGTATGTGAACGAGATCATCAGCTAGGCAGGCATGGCACGGCAAAGTACGTTCTGAGGAAGAACTACTGTGGAAAGGGGCTGTAACCATGCAGGTGTTCGACGCTTTTCCTTTAGGTTCATGTCATCTCCTGTGTACCGGTCCGAGTTGTTGGAATACTTGTAGGTAGGAGGGAAATAAATCCTTCCTTCGCTCCAACCCTGAAAGACGCGGCCACATCTTTGCTCGGTCCGAAGCTGCTTTAAAGAGAGAACATAAATCGAATCGTTCGAAAATTCTCCTCCTCTTGATCACATGAACAATCCATTAGAACAACTCGATTTTGGGCAGAGAACATCGAGAAGAAGAAGCTACCTGATCTTTTTCCAGCAGAGCTTTCCAGTTACGCATTTCGACGAGCGCCTTTGCGGATCGATACGAAAGAGAAATGCGGTAGTTTAAATCCCCGAGCCAGATTATGCGACTGCTCGAGAAACGATCCAAGGTGAGACATTTGCGGCGATTGAGCGTGCATTCACCAGTAATATAATGGAGAACAGGCTTACTCGTGCTCAAGGATGGTCTCGGGTGACCTCTCGTCGTGAAACCCATGAACGGGAGGGAATCTAGTCTTCCTCAGAATCTCCATGACATCGGAATTCCGACGCAGTTCATCTCCATCCTTCTGCCCAGACGTCAAATGGCTGCAGATGAAGCAGAAGCTTGTTTGGTGCAAAGACATGCTAATCGAAATTGAACCCTGGAAGAAACAGGTTTAAGAATGTATCCCTTCCGAGTAATGTGGATTGCATGTGTTTTCATGTAAGCATGATTCAATTGACATAGAAGCTCCTTGAAGAAATGCAGCATAAACATCACCAGTTGCAGCTGGCACAATTCCGATGGATCAGGAATTGCTTTCTACTAAACATGAATACGATGATATGTGGGGGTAGAAGATGAATGAGACCTCATCGTATCATACCTTGTTACCAAGATAGCCCATTAATCCCCTGCCAACGCAGGACACCTTCAGGTTCCTTATGCCATCTCTGATCTCTCCTCTCACCCATATGGTAAGAAATATTCCCACCATCTGCTTGCTTGCCACCAAACAATATCTGCAATGGCCACGCACATGATCATGGTAGAGTAGCCACTAAAACGCTCGAGTAGAAGGTATCAAAGGTTCTGAGGGATGATTACCTTGGCTGTACTGCCTCCATCGATGAAGAGGCTCCAAAGCCATACGACATGGGCGAGAAGTAGGCCGTCGTGGAGGGCGAATCCGCACTGATGTTCTCATCATCGGAGGACCCTCCCCATCGATAATTCTGGTCGTAGTCGCTTGGCCTGTTTGCTAACATGACTCGGTCGCAGACGCTGTGTCGACGATCTAGTCTTGGCTGTGGAGCCAAGATGTCTCCGTCCATTCTCATGCTGCGACTCAAGGACTGGAATGAACGGCGTTGGAAGAAGTTTGTCTGCCTTGTGGATGTTCCTTCGAAGTCATCGTCCAACTCCACGACCGGGTTGGGGATAGGGGAGGGTGTTTGGAAGCTGCCGCTGCTGCTGTTGCCTGCGAGATTGTTCAGCGTCTTCCTGATGAGAGCAACCCATTTCTTTGCAGGGCCATTGTCTTCTGTTCCTAAAACATTTCCCGCATTGAGAGGAACGATTTCCTGAAATCTGAGACACCAAAAGAAACGACTTCACCGGATGCATCGAGAGGAAGATAGACAAAGGTCGGGCGTGTACCCCAGAACATATATGTCTGCAGCAGGTGAGGTGTGGAGCCAGTCATCAAGATTCAGATTACTGGGTGGGGATTTGCCACCGACGTTCCATGTTGCAACAAAGATCCTATCACATAAATGGAAGCAAGCAGTCAGTGGTGGATGTAATGGATGAGTGATTGCTTGGTCCTACTCCCGAGTACCTATAATGCAGGGTTTCAGTGACCTCAGCTGCATCAAGATCGATCTTTCCTCGCCGAGCTTGATCTGGTTTCTTCTTGGACAATCTATCTGAGGCCACAAAGGGAGAGTCGAGTGAGACAAAAGAGGAAGAATGTCATGGGAGGAGGACAATTCAGAGCAACCTGTGAAAGGGTATAGAAAGAGAAGATAACAACGACTGTTTTGGTGTGGTCCAAAGCTGTTAGGCTGAGAGGATGTACTGTATAACCTGATTTGCTTTTCTTGACAGAGTATGATTCCATCCCTGTGATGCTGCCCCTCCATTCCTCACCACCCCCTGAAAAGAAACACACAATTGGAAGAAAGAAAAGGAGAAAGCAAGACTGTGTTTTGCATGCAGTAATGTGCATCAGACTGAAATTTAAGCAACAGCTGCTTCTTTTGCGGGATGAACAGAACAGAAACAGAGACGCAGAGCAGGGAACTTCGAACGGGAGAAGAAGAGAGCGAAGAAGACATAGTAGAAGAAACAGCATGTCATTTTCCATAGTCTTATTACATGACCTGAAGGCCGGTCTTATCCTGAGATCCTAGCCGAAGTAAGACAGCACCAGAAACAAAGAACAGGTACAGAATAGCAGAACTTAGATTATGACATGAGGAAGACATCTACCTCTAGCAACATCATCTGAATGGAAGTCTTGAGTTTTGCTCTTGATGTTGAACCATTTCCTGACA